CCTCAGCCTCCTCCTTCTCCTTCTGCAGTCGTTCTTGCTCTTCTCTCTCTGCCTCTAGGCGTTGCTGCTCCAAACGCTCTTGTTCCAGCTTCTCTTGCTCAAGTCGCTCCTGCTCCTCTCGCTCTCTTTCGAGCCTTTCTGCCTCCTCCTTCTCCTTCTGCAGTCGTTCTTGCTCTTCTCTCTCTGCCTCTAGGCGTTGCTGCTCCAAACGCTCTTGTTCCAACTTCTCTTGCTCAAGTCGCTCCTGCTCCTCGCGCTCTCTTTCGAGCCTTTCTGCCTCCTCCTTTTCCTTCTGCAGTCGTTCTTGCTCTTCTCTCTCTGCCTCTAGCCGTTGCTGCTCCAAACGCTCTTGTTCCAACTTCTCTTGCTCAAGTCGCTCCTGCTCCTCTCGCTCTCTTTCGAGCCTTTCTGCCTCCTCCTTCTCCTTCTGCAGTCGTTCTTGCTCTCTTTCGAGCCTTTCTGCCTCCTGCAGTCGTTCTTGCTCTTCTCTCTCTGCCTCTAGGCGTTGCTGCTCCAAACGCTCTTGTTCCAACTTCTCTTGCTCAAGTCGCTCCTGCTCCTCTCGCTCTCTTTTGAGCCTTTCTGCCTCCTCCTTCTCCTTCTGCAGTCGTTCTTGCTCTTCTCTCTCTGCCTCTAGGCGTTGCTGCTCCAAACGCTCTTGTTCCAACTTCTCTTGCTCAAGTCGCTCCTGCTCCTCTCGCTCTCTTTCAAGCCTTTCTGCCTCCTCCTTCTCCTTCTGCAGTCGTTCTTGCTCTTCTCTCTCTGCCTCTAGGCGTTGCTGCTCCATACGCTCTTGTTCCAGCTTCTCTTGCTCAAGTCGCTCCTGCTCCTCTCGCTCTCTTTCGAGCCTTTCTGCCTCCTCCTTTTCCTTCTGCAGTCGTTCTTGCTCTTCTCTCTCTGCCTCTAGGCGTTGCTGCTCCAAACGCTCTTGTTCCAACTTCTCTTGCTCAAGTCGCTCCTGCTCCGCTTGTTCTCTTTCTAGTCTTTCTGCCTCCTCAGCCTCCTCCTTCTCCTTCTGCAGTCGTTCTTGCTCTTCTCTCTCTGCCTCTAGGCGTTGCAACTCCATACGCTCTTGTTCCAACTTCTCTTGCTCAAGTCGCTCCTGCTCCTCGCGCTCTCTTTCGAGCCTTTCTGCCTCCTCCTTTTCCTTCTGCAGTCGTTCTTGCTCTTCTCTCTCTGCCTCTAGCCGTTGCTGCTCCAAACGCTCTTGTTCCAACTTCTCTTGCTCAAGTCCTTCCTGCTCCGCTTGTTCTCTTTCTAGTCTTTCTGCCTTCTGCTTCTGAAGGCCTTTCTGTTCCAGTTGCTCTTGTTGCTTATGGAGAGTCTCGTCTGTCATTTCGTCCTCTTGCTCTTCAGTCTCTATTTCTTTTTGGTGGGCCTTCTCTTCGCTTCCGGGTTTTGCAGCCGTTGCGGTCTGGTCGTTTGCTGAGTCGTGCATCCTTGGCTGGGCGGTAGTGATGTGACATTGTGCCAATCCGCTTCCCATGCGCGAACCGCCAGAAAATGGACACAATAGCACTCATGGCCCTTATATAGAGTCAGGCTACAAAGTAGCCGCTGACTGACTCCTGTGTCCAGTAAAGCCCGAATGTTTGCAGAGGTGCTGTGAAGACACATGCAAACACTCATCCATCGAGAAAGAACAGGAAGGAACATGCCAAATTCAATTCGTATACCAGCATGTGTCTTTTCAGGGTGAAGCGTGTGAAGCTATATTCCCACCCCCCATATCTGCAAAGCCTTCCCTCTTGGACTAACCCACCCGGAAACCTTCTCCCATTGAGAAATTCTGCGTGGGTGGCACCCATATAATTTCAGGCCCATATGGGGTAGGTGTCAGCACTGGATGCCCCATGGTGGGACAGTTTCAAATCTTGTAACTGACTCTATCTTTTCGCTTACTTGGGTCATAGATGCCGGCCCGTGCCCAGAGGTGCGGCTCAATACTTCGGTATTTGCTGGTCAATACCTACTGTCTCATAATTAGTATATAAGTTGTCATTAAGATCTGTCACTTACAGGTTGGTGGTATCTAAACATTTGCTGATTGATAATCGTTCATGATTCATATCGAATACTTGATTTGCATACATAGTACCCCTTCAGGTAGGTTAAATCCGCCAATCAGCTCCGATCCGTCATGGAAAATCTCCAGGTTTTTGGCTACATCCAGTTACTGACATCCATTCACTTGGTGCATTTCTCAAATTCCTCACTGGTGGAATTTCAACTCCGCTAAAAACCCCAACTTTCATGTTAAAACCAGCTGCGCTTTTTCTGAAACAGCTGCCTTCGATGCAAAAATCGTCACTTTCAAGTATTTGCTTACGTTTGCAAAAATCGTCATAGCCTTCCCTAAGAAAACGCATGTTTGGCTTTGCTTTTTCCTCCATCTCTGCAGCAAAAGAACACCAAAAAGGGTGTGTCTCAACACAGGGTACTACCATTCTATACCAAATTCCACAGCATGGTTGATCATTGACTCTTCTCATGACAATTTTGGGGCTAATCCCCCGTGTTATTGTTGACGAAATATCCTCACTAGATCCCCATCGTCCTAGTCAAATCCATGCGTTTCCCATTTAAATCCTATTTTTCCCGTTATCCACACTTTGCCCAATCAACTCCTAATCTATTCCTGCCTCTTTCCTACTCACATCCCAAGTGCAAATAAGAATAACAATGAATACCAGGAAAAACCAAAGCATTATTCCAATTCTATCACCAGTCTTTCCTGGTAAATCCCAGACAAAACCAGCTTTTCGTCGTCCGCAACGCCCACAACGCCCGCCAACGGCCAAGTCTCTCTCCGCGATCCGCCAGGGCCTCATCGAAGGAGCGTTCCACCTTCTCTCGCAAGCCCTGCAGGCCTTCCTGAGACAAGGTGAAATGAAGCGGAATTCAGGATTTATGATGATTCAATCAATGGGAATTTCAGGATCCGAAAATGTAGGTACCTACCATATATAAGGCCTATATAAGGCCCATGTAAGGGAATATCACCACAAAATATGGCCTTGTATGGTACAGTACCTCCATTTTAGGATCCTGGAATTCCCATTGATTCAATGAATGATTCAATGATGATTCAATCAATGAAAAAGAGTGAACACTTGGCGAAACTGTGGGGGTGCTGTTATCACAGGTGAACATTTATATACATTTACATTTATTACATGTGGTGAACATGATTGCAAACCAAGATTTAATACGTGACATAATGGGGAACTGAGGATTTCATCTGTTGCAAGAGTGGAACCAGTTCCAGTAATCGATGAAATACCAGGGAAATTGACCCAGAAATTGAGATCAAATGAAACGGGAGCTTTCTCAAAATTAGGTAGCCTCTGGTAGTCTACCGTGGCCATTAAGAATGGCCGGATCATGAATCTATTGTACAAATCGGTCATTCCGTGCCACTCCGTGACTACGTGAAATTACCATAGGGTACCCCAAACCATTGGTTTCCCGGTTGAAAATGAAGACTTTGGGTTGATTTTGGGGTCCCCAAAGTTTATGAGGTTATGAAAATTCAATCCATCAAAAACCGGGAAGATTGGAATTTGATCCGTCAAAAAATTGGATTTAATCCGTGAAGAAATAGGAAATTGAGGATTTGATCCAGGAATTTGCATAAAATGAATTAAAATTAAAATTATGGTCACCGACAGAATTATGGAAAAAAATAAAACGTTCAACTTAGACAGGCGGCGCCTGCGTCCGATTTTTCCATAATTGGATTTTTCCGCATAAGGGTTCAAAATATCCCGGAAGTGATCCGAACTTTTTTTTTTCTCCATAATTCTTGGAGGTGGCCATTATTTCCATAATTGATTTTTCCTGTAAAATCAGGGGGCTAGGGCAGATTGACCGGTTTTTCCATAATTATTTTTTCCATAATTAATGTTTGGGGCTCCACCTGTTGGACATGTCATGGATCCACAATTCAAACCCCTTTTTTTTGGGGGTTATGGAAATATGTATGCAAATGCAAGTATGTAGTATCAACCCAATTGGTGGCTTGGCAAAAGGATACATCCCGCATATGTATGTACGTACAACAATGAGTTTTGGTGGTGCAATTGTATATCAATGGAAGACTTAGGGGCATATACCAGATCTTTAGACACATATTTTCTATAATTCAATATTCCCCCTTAAAATGCATTCAAATTGCGAACATCACATAATATTATGTATATCAATGGAAGACTTAGGGGCATATACCAGATCTTTAAACACATATTTTCTATAATTCAATATTCCCCCTTAAAATGCATTCAAATTGCGAATCGATGGACATACAGTCACCGACAGAATTATGGAAAAAAAATAATTATGGAAAAAATAATTATGGAAAAAAAAAGGTTCGTAACTTTTCTATCATAGACAGGCGGCGCCTGTAAATTGAAACGTTTTTTTTTTCCATAATTCTGTCGGTGACTGTATATAAATTTGAAGATTTGATCCATAGAAAACTTGAAATACCAAACCCTCAAGAATTGGGGCTTGGCTGGTCACAAAATGAAAAATATGTCAAGGAGATGGTTGAGGTTAAAGACAACTTGAATTTAGGAGTCGCGGCGGTCCACTATCATCACACTCAATGTTGGAAACCATCCCCACTTTTTCCGGCCGAAAACTGAGATATATACCATCATGCTTAGTATCTGTGCAGTTTGAAGCCGCCCGTCCATATCCCACGCTCCCATGGCTAGTCTTAGATACCCTAAAGGCTCTCAATTTTAGCTGGCCATTGTGCGTTTATATCTATTTATCATTATCCATTTATCATCATTTATCAGTGATTTACCTATTCATTGTTATATACAGTGTATCATTGACAGATTTCATCCGTTTTCTGCACTTCTCCCATCGATCTCCATCGTCCCAGGTCAAGCAGCTGCTGCACTCTGCAGGGATTGCAGGGCACTGGTGGCCTTCAGCGCGCCGCCCAAGGCGCCCAAACCTCCGCCGCCGAAGAATCCGCCGCCCCAGTGGCTGTCCTTGGGGGCTGAAAGATGCTGGAAGTTGGGTGCTGTTACTGATGCGTTTTATTTTTAGCTATAAACAAGTTATTGTATATATATATATTATAAATTATATGTATATTATATATATATATGTGTGTGTCTACATTAATCTATGTAGATTATTTTTCTATTCATTCTGATAATCAACTGTTACAAAACTCATGATCTCATGGAGTCCGAAGTGGTATGGTCACCTCGATTTCTCCGAGTCCCCTGGGAACTGTCCCCATCCAAGTGACAGTCTTGGGCTCCTCCTCCTCCTCCTCCACCCATCGGCTGTCAGGTTCAACCCCATATTTCTCACAGATGCCTCAGTCTGGGAATCGGCCACCATATGCCACCATGCTTTCTTTCAATGACATAGCTGCCGGTGCTGATGGTTCCATTCTATAGAGCCGCCAGCCCCAGGTTGGCCAACCTGTGTCCCATATAATATAGGAAAATATGTCAAGGGAGCCCTATGGATTGGATACACTTCTAGAAAGACGAGGGATTCACCACACACAGTTTTCCGCACACTTCTGTATGGACGTGAACTGATAGGTAGTTATGTGGTTCTATGTATTACGTGCATATATATTTACATACATACATACATACATACATACATACATACATACATACATATACAATACATATATATATACATAAAGGCGTAATGTAATTTAATGTAATGTAATGTATTGTAATGTAATGTTGTGTTGTCTTATGTTATGTTGTGTTGTGTTATGTATGTGCGTACGTACGTACGTACGTACGTATGTATGTATGTATGCATGTATGTATGTATGTATGTATGTCTGTGTGTATGTGTGTGTCATACAAATAAACAAACAAACAAACAAATAAATACATATGATATATTCATATATATAATCATATATGCGCTATGTAATATTGATAATATTGATATATAATGATATATTCCATGTAATTATATTGATATTACATGACTACATGCACGTACTTGTAATATCTTGTATTAATAATGTTCTGGCTGAATTATAATTCAGTAATCTGAGAATAGCTAAAACAAGGCGATTTGAGGATGATTCCCTTACCAATCCTTACCAAGCATCATTCCAATGACGTCACAGTGAGGCCATTATGATTCATCCACATATATATATAAATATATATATAAAAAATATATATATAACTATATAATATATATATATACGGCAGGGGGAGGAGGTTCCCCGAGAGGACGTCAATCAGGATCATTGAATTGGAGAAAAAACAGTGTTTCACTGTGGTAAAATGGAGATTTTTCATGTCGTTCTTTTCATTGTTGATGTCTTTCCATTACGGATCAATTTTTTTTCGTCCGTCGAAGTTGAAGTCAATTCTGGACCAACACAATATGTTTTTTTTGGTGTTCTTATTTTCTCCAATGGAATTACGAGGTGCACAATTTGTGCTATATCAAAGATCATTGGAAAAGGGTATAATATACTGTGTTTCCACAGGTATTTTGATGTGATGCTGTTTTTCATTGGTAATTCACAGTGATTTTGCATATCATCAAAATTTCCGAGTGCTGTGAGTCAGCTGTTTTTACTGTCTTTATACAAAAGCATTAGCACAAGACATATCAACCACTATAGAAGGCACAAACCCGACCAATTCAAATGTTATTCTATGCAGGAAGATATCATCGTAGAACATAAATAGATTATAACGATGTTGGTACATTATTTTATGATACCGATACACCGCTCGGAAAGTAGATGGCGCAAAAAAAATAAATAAATAGCGACGGTAGATGGCGCAGCCTGGCCGTAAAATCGCTATTTTTGGCAGATGGCGCGACCCCGAATAGCATCGCTATTTTTGGAAAATAGCGATTGGTTTCTTTTTCTTTGGATTCTCACCACATTTTGCACCAGGCAGGGCTACTGCCGGTGGAGCTGCCATCTTCAAACACAATGCAGCCATATTATTGAAGCAAATGTGGCTCACACAGACATACAGTGGTATGCACGCACACACATACACTAACCACGCACCACAAAAATCTGCGCCATCTACTTTCAGAATGGAGTACATTTTGTTTGATTGGGATAAAATGAACGTTAACATCCCACCCCACCCCCCCCCCCCACCCCACCCCACCCCTTCACGCAAGTTACATGAACGTTATTACACCCCACCCCACCCACCCCCCTTCACGCAAGTTACATGAACGTTATTACACCCCACCCTTCCCCCCCTCGGGGAACCCCCGCCCCCAAGGGTATATATATATATTATATATTATATATATATTATATATTATATATATATATTTATATATATATAGTATGTATGTGTGATTGTGTGTGTGTGTGGCTTGACGTTCCCGTTGACTAGAAACTCTTGTAGAGCGTTGGTTCCTTGCCCTTGAATTTGGTCAGGAGCTGGTCGATGTTTGACAACTTCGCAGGATTGTGCTTCTCCTCAGTCTCAGTGAACCGAAAAATGGTGGGATTTGGGTGTCTGAAAATGGGGTGTATATACCCCGAAATCAGGAAAATCATGGAAAATGGTGATTAATCAATGAATTGAGGGATGCCGCGATGCCCATGGATGCCCTATATTCAGACCCATTTGGTTTGAGCAAACGATGAAAAGCCAGGAATACTGCGAGTTTGATCGCTGAAAACGACAATGTTACAATTAAATACAATTAAGGACTAGGGATTCAGCGCACGCCAAGTGGGATACAATTAACACTATCGGACAATAGTCCAATGCAAATGGGACCTATTACCTGCTGTCAAAGAAGATCTAAAGAATCCCACTGGAGAAAAAGGCAGATTGCACATTGCGGATTTCTGAGCCTGCCTATTCAACATTAGTCTTCGTCCCTAGCTTCCCTAGCTTTGCCAAGTGTGTGAATATGCCCTAAGTTGAGCAACAAAAGGAAACACATGGAAAAAAAAACAAGGAAACAATGTGGAACTTGAACAATGACCTGACATGTGCCAACTCGACGCCCCCCCAATGGATCCCCATGGCTTTTGAGGCTCGTAGATGGCCACAATCGCGGCGCGAATGGGATGTTCTTCCTCGGCAGCGGGTTCAACTGGGGACAAAGTCCACTGGGCTGGTGGATGCCTCACAAAATCTGGGCTATTCCGGCTATTCCATCATATATGTATAAATACATTATATACATTATATATACATTATATGTACATTGTATGTACATGAGAATATACATATATATATATATATACATTATACACACACACATATATATATATACCGTCTGTATATCTATATTTATATATATAATTATATATATATATATAGAGAGAGAGAGATAGGTGGGCTGTAGTAACCAAAAAACTTTAAAAAAAAGAGTTTAGGGTCAAGTTTAAGCCACGTGCAGTCATGTGTTCAATGGTGTTCTATTGCATGCTGCTGAGGGTGCCTCTTCAAGGCCATATTTCTTGCAGACTGCCTGCAGCGCAGCACTGGCCACTGGAATCCACTGGATCCTACCGATCCCTTTGGGGCCCTAAAGGGCGAAACTGGGGAAGTCAGGTAAGGTCCGTTCTTCCAATAAATGTTCCCCTGGTGTGCCGAGGCCCTACGGGCCCTACGGGCAACAAATCAGCTCTTGGATGGCCGGTCCTAGCTACCAGCTACCAGATGGAGACTTGCCAGCCATGCGTTCAAAAATACATCATGAGGATTCATGGGATGCTTATCTAAGTTTAAGACATCCAATGATCCAATGGCCAAGTTCCATCGACTTCAAAGCGTGCCTGGTGGAAGGAGTGCATCTTCTCCTGACAGTGGTGCATTCCCTTCAATGAAGTTCCTAGACAAATTACAGTGTTGACTGGGCTATTGACCCCATTTAACTACATGGCCAACTATTAACCCCATGCAATTACAGTAATTACATGGAAATGGTTCAAAACCCTGATAATCCTCTCCCCGTACCAAAGATTCCCAACAAGTAGCGAACATCTGGGGCAGTTTTTATTGTTAAGCCGGGAATCTTGACCATTTGGGTGATGATTAACATAAATAAATCGCCGACTTCAAAACCGATCACAATCCGCAAAGGGCGACAAGGCAGCATCCCAGGGTTGACAAGTTTGCATTAGTTAGGGTGCTGAATCGCATTGTTGGTATGCTGTTCTCCTATTGTTTTTCAATGGCCACGATTGAAAAACTTGAAAAGCAAAAAACTAAAAAAAAAAACAAGTTTAAGACAAAATAACAAAATGGGACTCTCTTTCTCTCTCTCTCTCTCTTTCTCTCTCTCTCTCTCTCTCTGTCTCTTGCTTTTATTCTTTGGGCGAGGTTCACGAACAGTTGGAAGGGATTACCTTCGTATACCCTGCAAGAATCACAAAAGATCCTCAGACTTCTCCATGTTGGGATGTTCATCTACCATTATCTACCATTATCTACCATTATCTACCATTATCTACCCATTTATGGTTAGAAGAAACTTAGGCAGGCAAAGGTTGAAAAAATCAAAATATTTATTTTGTCATTTTTTTGTCGTTTTTTTTGTCATTTTTTTTGTCATTTCAGTTTTGTCTGTCATTTTTTTTGTCATTTGTTTGTCGTTTTTTTTGTCATTTCAGTTTTGTCTGTCATTTTTTTTGTCATTTTTTTGTCGTTTTTTTTGTCATTTCAGTTTTGTGTGTCATTTTGTTTGTCATTTGTTTGTCGTTTTTTTTGTCATTTCAGTTTCGTCTGTCATTTTTTTTTGTCATGTTTTTGTCGTTTTTTTTGTCATTTCAGTTTTTGTCTGTCATTTTTCTGTCATTTTTCGAAGACTTTTTCAATCGTTTTCACTATTTTTGAAAAATTGCACCAAAACGACAAAAAAATGACAAATTTTCCACAAAATGACAAAAAAATGACAAAAAAAATTGCACTTTTGCAGGTGGCAAAAATTGCATTTTTCTCGAAGCATTGTCATTTTTTTGTCATTTTTCTGTCATTTTTCGAAAAATTTTTCGATCTTTTTCACTATTTTTAAGAAAATTGCACCAAAATGATAAAAACCCATGGTGGCTATTTAGCTCCCATTTACCAACCATCGCTGCTCCTCGCAATGTAATTTGAAACTTGCCAGGTCATCTACGGTTTCGGCCTGGTCCTTGAACCTTGGAGGGCTCAAGAGATGGCGAATCCTCCGGAAATTGCTCTTGAAATTTCTCCTGAATATTGGTGTTCAATATTGTTCAATGGGTTTCAGGGAATTTCAAGGGTATGACTCGTACGACCTTCAATTTGCATTTACATATATTGTACCTGCAGATGCAGGTCTATATCGCTTAAATATGCTTAAATCCACGATTTTCGATATAAAAATAAGTGGCTACAGGATGCACACACTTCTGCTGCCCAGTGTCCTGTTGATCAGCTTGGGGATGTCAGAGAGCTTCTCGGGATTGTGTTGCCGATAGATGTCTTCAAGCATGTGCTGGTAGCGATGCAGCATGGAGGAAAATTCCTTGCAGTCTGCTGGGGCCCTAGGTCCCCAGTGAAAGCGGGAGAGGCAGAACTTTGCGTGCATTGTGCAGCTTATGAAGGTTTGTAGTTGATCCCTCTTTGGGCTTTATGATTCTGAACATCGTTTACAACTTTAAAAATATTCTTTAGATCTTTTACATCTTTAATGTCTTTTAATTAGTTCTTTGAACTATTTCGATGGGTCACCCCCCTGCCCAACTGCTATTCCTTGGTGCCCAGAAGCCGCTCGCAGAGTGTCATCCGGACTGTCCACAGAATCTGGCTCCTGAAGCCATAGAGTGCCATAGGGATCATCTGTGATAATCCATAGATATCCATAGATCATATATGTATAACCTGGCAATGGAAAGTCTTTCTGAAAAACTGTACACCCCGATTCCGATCAAGGATCTCAATGGGATCATCCAGAAATGGGATAGTTTCAAGTTCCATGTTGGGCAAGGCTCTGTCTGCGCTCTTGATCATAGGGGTGCGATTTTAGTAGCAAATTATGACTATTTGGGCTGAAAAAAACGCCCTAATCAATCAAGCCAGGTTTATTTATTGCCCGAAGGGGGCTCTTTGAGGTTGACATTCACAAAATCCCTATGTTTCATCACTAGCATATCATGAAGTTCCTATTGCTTAAATGTGAAAAAAATCCCAATTCTTCGTGGTTTCATCCAACCTTTTGATGGTCTCATTGGTGGTGAAATCCCATGTCATGAACTCAATGGGATCAACTCTCAGTCCGTCAGGGCATGGCTCGCTTCCGCCAGCAAAGCTTGGCCGAAGTTCATCAAACTGCCCCAGCCCTAGCCGAGTGAGGCCAAGATAAGCATCGTTCACAGTTACTAACGCCGCATGTGCCATCCCATTTTATAGAGTCTATAGAGTCTATATATAAATAAGCATGCTATTTCAAGCCAACCACAATTCAAGGGGTTCAGAAGATTAATTGTTGCCATACCAGGCGTCATCAAAATATGATGTATTGGATGTACCCTCTGGTAAACTAACATAGCTATGGAAAATCACTATTGTTAATGGGTAAATCCACTAGAAATGACAATTTTCAATAGCTATGTTAGTTTACCAGAGGGTATATGGGATATTGTGCCATCCCATGCCATCCCAGGATGGTGATGCCATCCGTGGACCATCCCGGACCATAAAAAGGCCGTTCGCCAAGTCGCAACCGCCTCGGACTTCTTCTCCGCCGTCTCGGTCACCTAAAACGAGTGTCTGCAGGTGGGCAAAAAATCCTCCGATCTACCATGAATTCAGTTATAATCCGCCGACCCCTGCCTAGCCTTGGCCTAGGCGGGGCGGCGCCCGGGATCACCGTAGGTGTGCGGCATGGCCCTGTGCCGGCTTTGGCTTCGAAGGCTCGGAACCCTTCCAAGTTCCTCTAGCAGCTTTCGAAGGCCTCAGAACCTCACCACCTTCCGCAGCAGCTTTCGAAGGCGTCCCACTTGCTTTGCCATGGTACCTCCCTAGGCCCCACAAGCTGTTTCTATTGGGCTTCGAAACTGCTACGTGGCACGTTTTGGGATGTTTTGGGCAGGCCTTAAAACCCTCAAAACCTCCGCAGCAGCTTTCGAAGGCCTCAGCACCTCACAACCGCAGCAGCTTTCGAAGGCGTCCCACTTGCTTTGCCATGGTGCCTCCCTAGGCCCCACAAGCTGTTTCTATTGGGCTTCGAAACTGCTACGTGGCACGTTTTGGGCAGGCCTTCAAACCCTCAAAACCTCCGCAGCAGCTTTCGAAGGCCTCAGAACCTCACAACCCTCCGCAGCAGCTTTCGGCCATGGTACCTCCCTAGGCCCCACAAGCTGTTTCTATTGGGCTTCGAAACTGCTACGTGGCACGTTTTGGGCAGGCCTTAAAACCCTCACAACCTCCGCAGCAGCTTTCGAAGGCCTCAGAACCTCACAACCCTCCGCAGCAGCTTTCGGTCACAAGCTGTTTCTATTGGGCTTCGAAACTGCTACGTGGCACGTTTTGGGCAGGCCTTAAAACCCTCAAAACCTCCGCAGCAGCTTTCGAAGGCCTCAGAACCTCACAACCCTCCACAGCAGCTTTCGGCCATGGTACCTCCCTAGGCCCCACAAGCTGCTTCTATTGGGCTTCGAAACTGCTACGTGGCACGTTTTGGGCAGGCCTGAAAACCCTCAAAACCTCCGCAGCAGCTTTCGAAGGCCTCAGAACCTCACAACCCCCCGCAGCAGCTTTCACAGGCGTCCCACTTGCTTTGCCATGGTACCTCCCTAGGCCCCACAAGCTGTTTCTATTGGGCTTCGAAACTGCTACGTGGCACGTTTTGGGCAGGCCTTCAAACCCTCAAAACCTCCGAACCCTCCGCAGCAGCTTTCGGCCATGGTACCTCCCTAGGCCCCACAAGCTGTTTCTATTTCGCACGTTTTGGGCAGGCCTTAAAACCCTCAAAACCTCCGCAGCAGCTTTCGAAGGCTTCAGAACCTCACAACCTTCCGCAGCAGCTTTCGGTCATGGTACCTCCCTAGGCCCCACAAGCTGTTTCTATTTGGCTTCGAAACTGCTACGTGGCACGTTTTGGGCAGGCCTTAAAACCCTCACAACCTCCGCAGCAGCTTTCGAAGGCCTCAGAACCTCAACCCTCCGCAGCAGCTTTCGGCCATGGTGCCTCCCTAGGCCCCACAAGCTGTTTCTATTGGGCTTCGAAAGTGGCACGTTTTCGGCAGGCCTTAAAACCTTCAAAGCCTCCGCAGCAGCTTTCGAAGGCCTGAGAACCTCACAACCCTCCGCAGCAGCTTTCGGCCATGGTACCTCCCTAGGCCCCACAAGCTGTTTCTATTGGGCTTCGAAACTGCTACGTGGCACGTTTTGGGCAAGCCTTAAAACCCTCAAAACCTCCGCAGCAGCTTTCGAAGGCCTCAGAACCTCACAACCCTCCGCAGCAGCTTTCACAGGCCCCACTTGCTTTGCCATGGTACATCCCTAGGCCCCACAAGCTGTTTCTATTGGGCTTCGAAACTGCCATGTGGCACGTTTTCGGCAGGCCTTAAAACCTTCAAAGCCTCCGCAGCAGCTTTCGAAGGCCTCAGAACCTCACAACCCTCCGCAGCAGCTTTTGGCCATGGTGCCTCCCTAGGCCCCACGAGCTGTTTCTATTGGGCTTCGAAACTGCCATGTGGCACGTTTTCGGCAGGCCTTAAAACCTTCAAAACCTCCGCAGCAGCTTTCGAAGGCCTCAGAACCTCACAACCCTCCGCAGCAGCTTTCGGCCATGGTACCTCCCTAGGCCCCACAAGCTGTTTCTATTGGGCTTCGAAACTGCTACGTGGCACGTTTTGGGCAGGCCTGAAAACCCTCAAAACCTGCACAGCAGCTTTTGAAGGCCTCAGAACCTCACAACCCTCCGCAGCAGCTTTCGGTCATGGTACTAGGCCCCACAAACTGTTTCTATTGGCTTCGAAACTGCTACGTGGCACGTTTTGGGCAGGCCTTAAAACCCTCAAAACCTCCGCAGCAGCTTTCCAAGGCCTCAGCACCTCACAACCCTCTGCAGCAGCTTTCGCAGGCGTCCCGCTTGCTTTGGCCATGGTACCTCCCTAGGCCCCACAAGCTGTTTCTATTGGGCTTCGAAACTGCCACGTGGCACGTTTTGGGCAGGCCTTAAAACCCTCAAAACCTCCGCAGCAGCTTTCCAAGGCCCTTAAAACCCTCAAAACCTCCGCAGCAGCTTTCGAAGGCTTCAGAACCTCACAACCCTACGATGAACAGACACGGAAATCCCTGATATCAATACATTCGATTCATTGTCCCACAATCTATGTTTACACTACCTAGTCCTTCAAAAGTTCCATAATATTTGTACGTTTGGACTACTGCACGTGTGGGCCGTTTTGACCGTTCCCCGCCGCTCCGCCCTTGAAAGGAGGTCGGCGGCACCTGGGCGTTAGCCCATTTATAGTATGTTATAATTCCAGAAAAGGGGGGCAGCAAAGTCTTTATCAGATACCCCTGTATTTAAAAAAACTGATCCACCATGACATCATGATACATCATGTATTTCCTATGCTCTTCCGATTGAGTGCTTATTTGAACCCACTGTGAACGAGGACCCCCCCAGTTGTTTCTGATTTCCGTGGCGTGAATGTGGTCGCATTCGCTGGAGAAAATGCGTTCACTCACGGCTGCATTGGCTTCTGATTGACTACTTCTTGGCGAACAAAATTCCAACCGGTCGATTTAATCCAATATGGGTTGGGCGTTCCACGCTGAGATATTATGTAATAGGAAGAGAAATCGATTATATATATATAATATATGTCAGTGCATTCATATGGGTCCACATATTGTGCGTGTATGTATGCTATATATATATAGTATATATATATATGTGTGTATAGTATATCCGTATCATTGTATACAGTATTATACAATGTACATTTGAAGCTGCAAGCGATGAATTGGGTCCAGTCAAATGTATATAACTTGAGGTCAAACTGGACGGTGACGCTTGGAGAATCCAGCAGAATCAGCAGATTTTGCTGTCAAGCAACCGCCTCTTTGGGTTCGGATGACTCGGGCTTCTCGGGCTCCACTTCCTGAGCTTTCCACATGCCGCGGCTGTCCACGGCAAATCTTGGACCTTCTTGCAAATGCTTGTGCTTTCTGGGCATTGTCTTGTGGTAAAAGATCACGGAGATTAATATGATTAATGTAAGCAAACATATGTAAACTCCCCAGATACCATCCAAAGACAAAAGGGTATGAGCCAAAACCCTGGTGCACTCTCGTGAACGCCAAAATTTTGCTGGCAAGTCGATGTTCATTCCCCCAGAATCCCCCAGATATATCCAAATAAGGTGATCCCTATTTCATCCCCATGTTACCCAATGTTAGGATGCAGGATGCATATATGATGCATATCTTCATCTTCCATTATCTTCCCACGTTGAGGACAAGCCGCAGGTGCAGACTCCGCCTGAGCCAATGCGAAGTCCACCTCCTGATGCTGAGCGTTTCGGAGAGGTGATGAGAGAACCAATGGCAGGGTTTCGGTGTCACCAACGAAATAGGGAGGCCTTTACTGAAAGATACTGAAATGATGATTTCAGCATATGAAAATCATAGGAGCACCTGGGTTACCTGGGTTTCAAAAAAGTGTTTCACCAAGATGGTAGTGTTCAAAAATGCCCAAGCAAAATGGAGATTGAACAGATTGAAACTAGAAGTTTACTATGAGAAACATCACTTCTTACTGTATAACTCCCCCTCCCCCTCCCGCCTCAAAGTCGCCCCAGCCGTCTCCATCGTCATCCATGGCACATGTCAGGCGCTGCGGCCGCCGGCTACAGGATTCACATCACCCTGGGGTGTGAAGTCCTTCATGTCAAAGTCACCTGGTTGTTTTTGACATTTTGTTGGGGGGAGGAAAACCAGGTGCTCAGTTGGTTGTTTGAAAATTATTGTCATCACCTTTCGGCCCTGGTACCAGCATTTTGCAGTTTGAATCTTTAGTGCCAGCGTGTTTGCAACTGTCGTCCATCAACTGCTGGGCACTAAAACCATACTTCCAAGCCAACAAGTGGCCAGGCGGTTGGGTACGGCTCGAAAACTGCCTCAAAACGGCCCATAGAAGGGGTTAATTAATTGGTGTTAATTTCATACGTCTCAACTAAATACAAACACATAATATAGATGCATATAATATGTGTATATATATATATATATACATACGGTATACGTATGTAGCGAATATGTCCAAACACATCCAGTTTGCGGGGTCAATACAGTTCACTCAACCAGTGGCCCCTGAAGGCCCCAACAAGTTGCCCGCCTGTCTTGGCATTTCGAAAAGCCTGCCATAAGATAGCGAAGGAACACAATAGGGGATGGTATTGTTATATACATACATTATGTTCATATGCACTCATAACACGTATCCATGTAGCTTTGCACATAATATCTAGATCTCTATGTACACCGGCATGTCTAAACACAACTGTGCAATTATGAGTAATTATGTATAAGTATATATACATATTCTATTATATTATCATATATTATCATATATTGCTTATCTCTTCAATTCCTGCTCCCAACACCAATATTGGTGGACGTTGAGTGTCCCAATTGCGTTCCCAAAAAACATCATTCGAGCGCCTGCATCACGAAGCTCCGAGCGGCCTGCTAGCTGCGAGCCCGGTACTGCTGTCTGTTGTCATCTGGGGTTGGTCATCACAGGATGAAAAGTAAGAGGTAGTTGAAATATGTTGAAAGCATCCCTTTTCATTGGTTTTTCGATTATAAACCATTCATTTTTAGGTACCCACATTTTAGGAAACCCCCACATGTAAGAAACGCGTTGAAACATGTTGAAACGACCACCTGGAGTAGTTGTAGCAAAGTGGGACACTTTTCTTGAGTGAAAAATTACATTTCCATACATTTCCATCAAGTTCCAACCTTGCGAGTCAGACAGACCAGCCTGAGACATGTTGCCTTCCAGAGCCCAGCACTGAATGCCTGGCCACCCAGTGAAATGTTTGTTGATTTCTAATCCTCAGATCTGCAATACATCCAAGTTATGTGCTACATATATATTATAAACACATTGAGATACATTTAGCTAGTCAACTATGGGGCACCGCCGTTTGATACAGTTCATGTCACATGCGGCCAATGACATGGATGACATGGATGACCGTCAAACAACTCTAGCAAGGAAATCATAAGGTCATTATACAATTACACGAAATTTAATGTCATATGTTCTTGTTCGTGCATTGTTACACTCTGGCTAGATCCCAATATGTTGTAAACATACTTGCCAGTCCCCCAAAGATCGATGAAGCTCATGGCCGAGCAATGAATTTACCCAGGGATCCCAGTAAGTACCCAGAAGGGAAAAAATATGAAGCAACCAGACCGCCACATTTATCACCTCCAGTTAAAAAAACCTAGACCCTGGAAATATACCCCATTTTGAGTGTGAAAAGTAATCTTCTCACCACCTATCACCACGGGGTCTATGTTAGTTGGGGCACATGTATCTCAAGACGAGTAAGATGAAGAACTCCCACAGGTGACCCGCCATGGATGTTTCATAAGAGACATCATGGTGGATTTTCCAGCAAGCCATGTTTGATTACCGCCGTGGCAATGGAGAATCCACCTTTTATAGATGATTTTCATGTATTTTCCCATCAAAAGTCATTAAACACATTTGAAAACCTCCATTCATAGGAGATTTCCCCTCCATTCATAGGGAAATTCCAATTTCGCCCAAGCAACCTCGAGCGCGCCTTCGCTTTGCAACATCTTCGCCAGCGACTTGGCCTCCCGCTTGAAGAGCACGAAGACCAAGACCTGGCAACTTCCGACCTCTGGAGGACCAATCATGAGTACTCTCTGGTAATGACTAACATAGCTATTGAAAATTATAGAATATTAATTATAGATATTTATAGTTGATTTACCTATTCAAAATGGTGATTTTTCATATAGTGACGGACATATACTTAGGACATCATTTTTTCCAAAATTTCGGAACCTTCTCTTAGAACATCAAAACAACTACACTTAGAACATCAGAAATGTTCTAAGTACGCACTTAGAACATCAGAAAAACAGATACTTAGAACATCTCCTTTGATTTTTTGCATACTTAGAACATTAAACACACATATACTTAGAACATGTCCTGTTACTTTGGTAAATCTGCATATATACACACAAATACCTTGGTGAACACCATACTTAGAACACTTTCTCCCCTCACTGCTGCAGCATTCTATACCTTTTCTTCGGGAACAATATCCCAAGCAGTCTTCGCTGCAATGGGAAGGTCTCTAGTATATAATTTGTGGGTTTCCTACAAGAGGTAGTCAAAAAGCATAGGTTTCAATACTAAAATGAGCTAAAATGAATTATGTATAATTTTGAATATATATGTATGGTTCCCATTGGTTCCCCACTGGGATGTTCTAAGTATAGCTTGGAAATGTTCTAAGTATAGGTTTTGGGTATGTTCTAACGACTTAATACTTAGAACATCCCCGCTGTGACGGTTTTCAGATTTTTTTTCCAAATGATGTTCTAAGTATTTGTCCGTCGCTATAGTTATGCTAGTTTACCAGAGGGTGTAGAGAGAAAGAGAGTGAGAGGGAGAGAGAGAGAGAGAGAGAGAGAGAGGGAGGGAGAGCGTGTTTTTATGCATAGAGGAGGCTTGTCATCTCTGGTTCATCTATGCGGTTTATGCCTTTTATGCCTTTCAGACTGAACACTTTCAGTCAAAATCAACTGTTGGCATTTTACACCAATGAAGCTATCCAATCCAATCTATCCAATCTACAGTATCTGATTTATCTGGTCTACCTGATCTGATCTATCTGATCTATACTATCTAACCTTTCTAATCTAGTCCAATCCAATCTAGCCTAATCTAATCGTCTAATCTAATCTAATCTAATCCAATCTAATCATCTAATCTAATCTAATCTAATCTGATCTAATCTGTCTGTCTATCTATCTATCTAATTTATCTCATCTATCTGATCTAATGTCTATCTGCCAAAGGGTATCTCAAAACTCCACCAGAATTCCGCAGCGATCCGCCCCCGCCTTGGCATCTCCAAACTCTCGCAGCAAATCGCAGAGCCGGCGGAAGCGCGAGGCCTACACTGGGTTGGAATATGTCAAATATTTTCTTGTTGATCATCCGTTTCCATCCGTTTCCAGGATAAGTTTTCCAGGATAAACCCATTGATGATCCATTTTAACTGGTAAATTGAACAGGATCCTCCAAGATCCCCAAGCTACGAAATATTCCAAGACAACATATTTGACATATTTGGTGCCATGACATGGTTATGATTTGAGACATTCATTTATCTTTGATTTTGGTGTGCTGGGGGCTGGTTCTGCCCAGACTGCTGGCGCGTGCTCAGACCTTCCAGTTGATGTATATACGTTTGTGGTACCCTCTGGTAGTCCAAATGTGGCAATGGAAAATCACCATTCTTAAGACGTAAATCATACACACACACATATATATATAATATATATACTTTCCTATACTTCCTGCCAGTGATGCTTGATTCCACCCTGAACCAAACACATCCAAGAAAATACTGCAACTTCGGAAGCCGAAGTGCCACCGAAGTTGCATCCTTTTGTAGCAAACAAAAATGATGTCCCATGGACCAGCTTCGTTTCACCACCGTGACAGTGGCCTTGGGAATCAGTTCCACTTCCTGCGAGATGACCCTGGGAATGCCAGCCACTGTCACCTGGAGACATGGTTTCCACGAGGTACAGGTATGGTATAAAAAGATATTAGGATGTATTAAGTATAGACAGTATTGATATAGATAAATGTACATGAATGATGATAAATGTACACCAAGGAATATTGATGATATTGTTACCGGGTAGAGGTGCGAATACTACATTCTTTTCAATGCATACGATAGAGATTGGATGAGATTGGTATATCGTAGGCTATGCTTCGCACCTTCAAAGGACTCTGGAGGAGAACTGCCAGCAACTCCTCTCCGGGCTTCCACCGGAAGTCTGGTGGGGTCAACCCGAGTCAACCCTCCTTGGGATCATCTGTCATCCCAGGGATGGAAAAAGATGAAACAAGGATGAAAAAGGCATGGAATCAGCAACCATTTGTGTTTTTTGGGTGATCTATAGAACGTTATACCATGTTATACCGTTATAGAACCAAATCACAGCAAGATCCAGTGGCACTACATCAAGACCCACTCCCGGGCTCCGTCTGTGACCCCCAAGTGGCGGAGAAGAGCAAGGTGAGCGATCGCCTTGCTAAGTGAAGCAAGAAACCCAGAAACCCATTTTCAGGCGTTGATGCGTTGGTCACATGGGGCCATTGTGGAAGGGGATCTCTATGGGAAAAGTGGTCCAAAAGCCCAAAATTAAAATATCCTCTGGTAATTTAACATAGCTATGGAAAATCACCATTTTTAATGGGAAAATCCACTATAAATGGCCATTTTCAATAGCTATATTAGTTTACCAGAGGGTATATTAAAATCAACCAACTGACTTCAGTACATGGATGAATCAGCTCATTCTTCAGGCGGCTGAAGAACCCAGCCCGCCAGCCCGCAAATTGGAAAAAATGGCACCGTCATGCAATTTGCTAACCACCAACCGAGTTGGCTAATGTTGGCTAGTATCCCCACTTCTAGTTTGTGAATTATATATCATATTTACCCCATATTAAGCTGGCTCACATCCCCTAGCTTGTTTGCTAATCGATCCCCCAAAAAAAGATCCTTCATATCTCCCTACTTAGAAAATCAGCTGGTTGATCTTCTCAAATCCCATCCAATCCCCCCAGGGGTTCTGCCTGTAACAGCAGCTGGCTAGCGCCATGATGTCCTTGACGGAAACCACCATTGTTCGAGGAGAAATAGAAATAGTGACCGGAAGGGGCCCCGAGATAGGTAAGTTGGTTTCTACCTTGGCTAAGTATGGCTAAGTATGGCTAAGTAGGAATTTATGCTGGACATATCTTTGGTTGGATAGTGTTGTAAACCAATAGTTTGGCCCCTTCGTGCAGGCAATCATCTAGAATTGATCTTCATTGATTGCTCATGATTTTTGAGTATGTCATAGTATATCATATAATTATCCATCTAGTACAGTCCTGGGATTTCAACACCAAGTAATCGTTGGCTGTGCATCCTGAACCCTCGTTCTGGACATCATCGTTGGACTAAAGCTTGACCCTTCAACTTGAAGTTTATAGCAGAAAGATTGACAGTTTTTATCATGCATGAAATCACCGAACAGTTTGGCGACCACCACGTGGCTGTTTCCGGCTTTAGGATACATGATATAGGTTTCTCCAAAACATCCAAAAACCAATCTATAGATTACCCTTTCAATGTGAAGAACGACCAACGTTGGATGATTTGGGGACCCCCATTTGCAGAAGCCCCCCATCTTGAAGCCGCTCTTCTTTTTCACTGGCGCGTTGCTGCAGTGCTACTGATTTGCTCACGTGACTCCCTGGGACCTCGCGGAAGTGGTTCGTTGAGTCACTTCGAGGATTCAGTATGCCTCCCAGAGAGCCTTCAAACCTTGGAAATGACAACAAGTGATGGCAAGTAATCTGTCTATTTCTTTCTGTCTTGGGCCGTGCTTTGACTGGCATGTTGCTGTGGTATGCTGTGGTGTGGTCTTGATAGTGGATTTCTCTTCCTGTTTGTGATCACTTAGGCTACCGCAGAGCCACTAAGGTTTGTCCTTCCCTGGCTGCCCGCAAAAAGGGGAAGCACCTACCAGGAAGGATCTGAATTCGGACCCTAGGTTTGCCCTGCCAACTCGGCTACTCATAGCTATACAGCCCTGTGCGGTGGCTGTCCATTGGCTGAATGGGCAAAACTCACCACGGAAGATGTCTCGCGTGGCCATGGCATGCTGACCATCGACCATGGGCACAACTAGATGTTGTCCACATCCACACCAGCTGTCTGACAGGGAGAGCACGGCTGACATCTGGAGATTGTTCTTTAGCAATTTCTTGATCCTTGCATCCATGACCCAATCTCTATTCAGATCCTACCTGAACATCCTAGACCTATCCACAAACACAAATTGTTGCTGCTGAAATCTCCGTCCATTATAATCACTATAAATTATAAGATTCAAAACCAATCCGAATAATCCCTTAGTTGCTTTGATCAACTTAATCTATCTTCTGGTGGCTGTGTCGTAATACACCTCTCATACATGCAAACAGGGGGATCCAAAAAAACAATTTTTGAGTATATAATATATATACATATATACGCGTGTATGTATGTGTATATTATGTTATATCATATATATATGTGCTATTCCATGATATTCCCATATTCCCATTATATGTATGTATATATATATCATGTTTTATATATATATCCCATGATATTCCCATTCATATCCCCTTAAAAATATCCCCAGTTACATCATGCGCCTCATCGAACTCCACACCATCGTCGCTGGAGTCGCCGTCGCCGATGTCTGTCTCGTTGATCTTCACCTCAGATTTGATGGGGAAGTCAGCATCAAAAATGATGGATGTCTTGGAACTGACCCTCTAGTAAACTAACATAACTATATATGGAAAATCACCATTTTTTAATGGGTAAATCAACTATAAATGGTGGATTTTCCATAGTTCTGTTAGTTTACCAGAGGGTAAGCAAGAGACATCGGGATTTATATATGGATTTATGGGGATGAGTAAGAAAAAACAACTGCAAAGGGAAGGACACCAAAGAGAAGATGGATAATTAACAACCAAAATGAGGAACTTAACCAACAGAAGTTTGGATATAAACAAGAATATGGATCTAACTCAGCCAACAAGAATGGAGGTATACAAACAAGAAAAGGGGGGATACAAGTGACATAATTGCTGCCGCTACCGCTCACAAAAAAAGGAAGAACGATGGCCGATATGAAGAACAGAGTGATGAGATTGACACAAGGTTTGGGGCTTTAGCACCTTCTTCTTCCAGCGGAGGAACCCGAAGACTTTGACAGGAGAAACAAACGAAATAGAAATGCACGAAATGCAACGGCTGAGGCAATCTTTGAGAATGGCCATCTGCAGTTCCTACCATTGTCCCAATTATCCCCATCATTCCCAGTAGGCAGTAAGCATACATTTGGGTACATAAAACATACATAAACCCAACTAACCATCGCTGCCACATCATCCATGGACCAACCCCTGGGGACCCCTGACGTTCTCGGGCAGTTCCTGGTAGTTCTTCAGGCTTCGAGCTTCCTCCGCGGTGTACTTCACAATGATGTCGCCCTTCTCGTCCTGGCCATGCCAACGCTTGGAGGGTGAAGAGACATGGAAGAAAACCTATGACATATATTGAAAGAGATGGTGATTATTAATTGGTTAATATATTACTATATGATTAATATATATTAAATCCCCGTTGCTTGTGCCTTTTAGTCTCATGCCTCGATTTTAGCCAGCTAAAACTCCGAACCTACCCCAAAAACAACGCTGGAAAAAATTTGGGCAGGAGGTCCTGCATAGGCTAAAATTTGGGCTCGAGACCAAAAATTTATACCACCCCACTTGGTTTGTAGAGAGATATCAGGCAGATAAAATCCAAGGGTTTGAGGTCTATTCGGCCGAGTCAATTTTTGAAAAATGTGAGGTCTTTGCAGGTTATGATCCAAAATGATCTTCATGATGCTTGCAGGTTTTTGTCACTGTTTTTTTGAACCATTCTGCCCCTGCATATCCTGCAGTGTTTGCATTGTTGCGTGTGTGTGTGTATGTGTTGGTGGGATGGCAAATGCGTGCTATCCAAATATTGTACAATTGTTTATATTGTTTTTTGGGGGGGCACTCTGATGGCAGGTTGCCATCATCTCTGAACATCTAAAAAAGTACTGGGCCAAGAACGGATGGCAGTACATGATGTACATGCAATGCTGGCTGCGAAATGATTTTTTCAACAAGATGGTTCGCGCAAAAAAACAGTTGATGCACAAACCTCGTTTTTCTTCGCCCGTTCCAAAAATGGGGCCAGGACAACATATGCACGGAAGAGTGCAGTTCCGGCTCAGTCCCAAAACGTGGCTAGCATGAGCCCTGCGGATTTGGAAACCTATCGCGCACAATGCCCTCCAAACAGAACGTCCAAAATCCCTGCTTGAACTGTTTCATGTACCAAAATCCCTCCTGGATAAAATTCCGTGGGACTGAGAGTCAAGAACGTGTAGAACTTTTATATTTGATAGTAAACGTATCCGGCGAATTTCGATACAACCCCAAAATATAAGAAAAAACTACTGGGATAAATATGCGGTGGAAGATATCCAAGGTACCGGCTGGCTATTTTTTTGGGCTCGACCCTCAGGATTTCAGCCAGGGGTAAGCATCGGGGATATATTAATATTAATATTGGTTCATCATATGGTGAATTCCCTCAAGGTGGGAAGATTTGATGGATGTGAAGAGTCACATGAGACTTGTTACTCTAACATGTCCGAAACTCCAGTAAGAACGAGTCATTTCTGGAACTTCCATCTCCAAAAAGCATCGAACGGCAATCTTTAGACATCTGAATCCTGTGGTAAAGGCGATGATCTTTACATCTATAATTAAAGTATATACACTTCAGGAGGACGGATAGCAAAGGTGCCGTGGGAATCCTCAAACTTAGAGCCCCGGTAGTGACGGTAGTGGCTTTGATGTCGTCAATGTTCGTTCAGTTCTTTGCGCCCACCATGCCCAACTAACCTGTGGTGTACCAACTCATGTCAAACCCACCCACCAAACTTCCCATCCAAATTTGGCTTGCCGAAAGGAGCAGCTGTGGGAAATCGCATGTTCAGTTCCATATCAATTTCCACAGCACCCTGATGGTTTCAGGATGTTTCAGGTACGATTCAGGTATGAAACTTATGATTCAGCCACCTTCATATACCTTCATCATCCTTCATCCCATCCAGATCCTGAAAGTCACGAAGCGACACCAAGACGATGTCACCCTGATTGCACCAGACCTTCTTCCTCATCTTGCCTGGTGAAGTCATCAGTCCCATTGATTCCGAGCATTTTTGCTGTGAGTTCTGCAAGAGAAAACCATAGAAAACCTCAACCTCCCCCGGGAGAAAAGCATCCCAACACCAATGTCACAACCTGAGTAATTGAGAAACATATGAGAAACATCAAGGTCCAGCCTATCAGGTTGTTCGCTGAAAAGTGCATTATCCAAGAATTGTGGATGATCTGAAAGCCTACGAGTACAGGAAAATGTTCAGAGTATAAACCCATGGTTTTCATCCATGGACATTAGCGTTTGCGAACCCCCCGGATCGCCGCATGAATTGATCTGCCCGAGCGACCGCGAATGTGGCACAACCTTAGGCTCATCAGCTTTCTATGGGCAAAATGACTGGCAATCAGTGGAAATGAACAGTTTCCGCTGATATTAAGGGTGCCCCTAAATCTCATGGTGAATCAGCACTTTCCATAATGTTCCATCATGTTCCATCATTTTCCCCAGTAAATTAAACATAAATTGGGTGGTTCTCTCTCTCTCTCTCTCCCATTTCATCCCTATCCTCAAAAACCAAGGCGTCGCTCTGCTGCAACCCAGGTACCGCTTCACCCCATCGACGCATTGCACATCACAACGGCCGTTGCCCAACATTCGGGTGATCTGTCCATATTCCTGTCGATAATGGTGACATACTGGTGATATCTGGTGATATCTGGTGATATATATGATATATATGAGGGAGATACAATGCAACCATAAAGATTGTTCAATGGTCGGAAATCCACAGGATAACCATGGTTTTAAGCACTAATTTCATCTAATTTCTGGGTGTCCCGTTTCGATTTTCTCTTCATACTGTTGTCAGAAGTTTAGTATTGGCAAATGGTCAATTAAATATGGTTCAATGGTCTCTTGAATGCACCCAAGAAACAATGCAAATGCAACATATGAAGAAGGAAACATGCACAAAGTATATATAGCATTTTAGAGCTACATTAGGCCATATCTACATTGGGCAGAGGCGTGGCTGCTAGGGTCGGGATAAGACCTGCACTCTAGACCGCTATAACCAACATGGCAACTCATGTCATGGGCAGAGAACTCCGCCTGGTTGTACTGCAACACAAACACCAACAAAGAAACATCTGGCATGTGTTTCCGTGTGTTTCCACGTTTGCAAGCCTTCTGTTTTGCAAGCACTAGGGGTTTGGGTGGTTTTTTGTTGTTCAACACTTGCACCCAAGCCTCCTGCTCCACGGTCAAATGATCGATTGCAACGATAATATAAAATGTGGAATGACCTGAAATCAAGCCACTTTGTGACTTTGTGGTGATTCCCTAGTCAACATGATTTCAACATCATTTTCACAATCCGCACCATCAGATCTCGTCACGAATCATGTTCACCTCACGCCCTTCGGACCTGGCCAGGTTCTTTAAACTCCAGCTCCTTCTTGTTGTTCTCGGTGCTGGCCTCCCAGGACTTTTTTGAGCCCCAATAGATATGTGAGTGACATATAATTAAAAATAATAAACGGAATGATTTTTTATATTACTATACAAGTACAGTATATTGTATATAACCACTAAATATGGACACTTCAAAACTTGGATAAACTTGCACCTGGACAACCGAAGCCATCCTCCTAGTCGATGTCCGGCTCCTATGTAAATGATCATTCCATGTGCCGTGCCAACCGAAAGGGGCCTTGGCTCGCTTGGCCTTGTTTCCTCCGAGCTTGTTCTTCGGCATGTTGCCTGGAGATTTGGGATGGGCTGATGGAGAGAATGTAAAGCCCGGCTCAAAAAGTAGCCTGTAACATCCTGCAACCAATAGGTGAGGTCCAGAAGGATAGCGAAAATTGCAACGACAAATGGCACAGCCTATATCTAATCCACATGGTTCTTCGAATCTTGGGCTGACATTTTCTCAAATCTGACAAGCGCAGCAGACAAAGCTAAGTCCCTGGCACTACTGATCAGAAAGCGTGTGCGGTGCGAGAATGTCAGCAAGTCAGGGCTATGCGAAGCTAAGCCAATTGGGCCAAACAGCAAAGGCGTGGTGGTTGCGACGTCGGGCCTTCAGAGATAGCTTCATTCGTGTCAAGCCCAAGGATAGAATAATATAATAGAAAGTTTCAAGATGGATGGAAGGATCAAGATCAATATCCAAAGAGTTATGTATTGGAGAGACATATGTCAACTCTTTGAATGCTTCACATAGTAGGTTCTTTGAGTGCTTTCCAGTGTGTCCTCTTCAAAGCCTTCATCGATCAAGCGATCACCCTCATCCAGCACCAAGCGTAGCACGACCTTGGCCGTCCATGCTTTGAAGTGGTCCATGGGTCCATCTCTTTAATCTTATTACATTGGAAAACGATAGAAAAATCTGTCATAAACCCCCTGCTCTCATTACCTCAATCTTAACAATTGTACCCAACGAGCCACAAATCGGAAAATTCACCAGCCGCTCTTCGACAAAAATGCGATCATCATTGATTTTCCCATGATTTTCCCATGATTTTCCCATTTTCCCATGGCCACTGTGATCCACAGGCCATAGACATAGGCTTTTGGCTCGAAGACTGATCAAGGCTTCAGGAGGTGCCAAGTCCTGCGACCCGTTTCGAAGTCACAGATGATTCTGAGATCTCAATGGATCTTGAAGATTCATGGATCTAAAATGATCTAAATAGTGTTCCATGGATCTTGCTGGATCTTACCATAACAATCCATAACATATCATAACATACCACAACCATCCATAACCCAAATTAACGTGACAACCTTATAGCTGATGTCCAGATAAAAGTAGTCTTCCACCCACAAAAAAGGTGGCATTGTCTATATTAGTGCTGGGGATAGCAATGGATCTTAATTGATCACCGGTCTGCGTTAAAGCCATCCTAAGAATATGCTCGTCATCTCAACCATCCCAATTATGGTCGAGAAATGTCGAGAAACAACACATATTCGATGTTTTTGGGAATAGTTGATGGTCCAATCATCAATATCTAATATGATATTAACTACAGTAATTGATATTATGGGGAATCGTTGGAAGGTCTTGGTGAAAAACACAGATCTAGTGACAGCGGCCTCTCGTCCTTCACCTGGGACGGGTGACCAAACAAAAAGCGTGGTGCATGTAAGGGAGCATGTCTTGAAACACCTTAAATTTTGTAATGTAGCATAATGTAGCAAACAGCGATTCAACCACCCAATAAAATTTTCCAGCTGCCTCACATACAAATCCAGTGATTTAGGGCAAAATCAGCTCATGACCCGCCAAGTCATCAGCATCAAGCCGGTGAAAGCCCCGATGTTCGCAGAGCTTTCCCGGTTTCCCATCGAATTTGCTGGAACGGTTTCCGCTGAGTCATGGGGGTACCCCCAAAATCATCAATTTTTTCAATGGGAATTTCAGGATCCTAAAATGGAGGTACTGTACCATATAAGGCCATTGATTTTTGAAGAGGATTTTCCATTATAAACCATCCATTTTGCGGTACCCCCATACACACCGACACCCGATGACAGCCGAGACCCAGGCTGGCAGCACGCGCTGCTGCGGAAGCTGGCCGCTGCCCACCTAGGCCGCAGCTGTTCTCAACCCAGGGTATCAATCAACATCAACCAATGCAGAACTCAGTGCTAATATCCTGGGATTTAGGGTTTGATCAGCTGTCAAGTCTTAGGGTTTTGAAATAGATTTGATATCACAAAAGCCGGCAGGTTTCAGTAACTGTTCTCCCTCGAGCGTTTTAGGCACCCTGTGAGCTAGAGACCAAGGCACTTGGAGAGTAGTAATTAAGTATCAATCACTCTCATCATACAGGTGTTCAGAGTGAGATTATATCATATTATATCACAAATAATAGTCGGAAATCAGAAAGAAACCAACAGACTGCGGAAAATGTCGCCAACAAGCAATCATGATTTTCCCAACAAAAACAGTGCTTCAGTGTTGCTGTAACATTGCCAGCCAATGTTCGGACTTTGGACATCAATTGGGGCATGAGGGAGCGAGAGCAATCCTGAACCTACATAAAGCATTCTAAAGCCGTTAGTTGCTTCCAGAAGTGGTAAAGTGTTGGTAGTGTTGGACGTGTTGGACGTGTTGGTAACGGCTCAAATTTTGCCCATATTTTTCCACATATCTTTGTGCGATATCAGCAGGTTCCAATCCGGGTTTAGGCCTACCCATTTTGCGGAACAGCTGAGCTTCCAACATAAGGCTCTCAAGCGGCCTGGCGTTGCCACCTGAGTGGTAATTAAGGGATTCACAACATCTTGCTATGAGCTGAAAGGATTTCCGACTGAAAGCAATGAGTTTGACAAATGTGGCCCATAGTCAAACCCACTTCAAGGTTGTAGTTGTCCCTCGTGTGTTCACTCAATTGTGGGCTTATTTGAAAGGCGCCATAATTCAGACATGGTGAGGCCATCCTTTACTTGGGACGCGAGTGACAGCCACTCGGTGATTATGTCACCTGACTACCTGCCATAAGCAGCTGTCGTCATGATGGAAAGGCAAATATGGCAAATGCCCTCTGGTCATGAAAAATGACAACGGATAATTCCGGATTCATAGATAATGTTCCCATATGTTCCCAGTGAAATGCCCATTTATTGGGTGATTTCCTTGGATTTCCCTGTGCCAGCTGCACCCAGTGGTCTCCACTGTGCATTTGTCACCGCAAGAACGATCCCCAGGCGTTTGGGTCTGCAAGCACGCTGTCCGGAGTTTTGCAAGGCGCACTCACTACATCAGCCTCCGTGTCCGGCAAACAAACAGGCACAGTTCTCCTGCTTTGGCGAGTTTTGGGCAGCAAATGCACAGATGTTCCATTAAAAAACACATAAATATAAATAACATGTGTTAACCCCACCAAAGGCACCAGAACCATCTCATCATCAAATATAGAGGAGTCCAAGCTGTTGGTGGTTTAAGCCCAGGAATATTAGTCATTATTAATAGTCAGTTGGGGGCTATCATCCCAGGCTAGGGCTGGAAAGAAACAATTCTGTGAAACCACCAGACATTGAAAGCAGTGGCTTGGCCCCCGCTTCCTCTGTTGCTTCAATAGGTTCAGTGAATATTCGTGCTAACACATGGACTTCTTATGCAAGTGAAGAGGTTATAAATTGGATTCTCAGAGGTCCTGTTCTGCCCCGCCCAGTCCTGCGGATCGAAGCGCCTTCCGACAGCTCAAAGCTGTAAATGGCCCCCTGGCGATACCTTGGGGCACCGAGATCCAGGGAGATCCAGGGAGGCTCAGGGGGCAACTTGTCCATCAACCTGTGAGACGGGTGAAATTGGGACGGCAAATATGTTATATTCGGATATATTCGGGGTATCTAGGTTGAATTCCAATGTAACTGGTTTAGGATATGTTAGGATCTATACCATATTTAATATCGATTGAATGATCCTTATTATTCATCAAGAAGTACCGATCAATCGCACCTAAACATCCTAAGCGAACAATATCATTCACAAATAAGATCGCTGACAACATCTTGGTGAATAACAACCTCACCAAGGCATTCCCTCCAAGCTGCTTGCGCGCCAGTCTTATCACCTCTGCGGCCTCAAGCTGGGACTGTAGGACCAAAGAAGGCTGAGACGTCAAATACCTAGTAACGCTGGAGGTATACCCTACAGCCAGCTACAGTCCAATGCCTAAAATTGATAAGTCCCAAGTTAGTTCATCATAATCATAGTTCCTTTTTTGTTCCCTTGCCAAGAGTTGTGTTTTTCCCTTGCCAAGAGTTAAGCTATCAAAAAAAACGGCACAAAAATGACCCATTGCCATTTGATGGTCCCATAATGGTCCCATGGCATTCCCAAAACCATCGTTCATGTCACTGAAGGTTCAGCCTCCGCCACAACGGTGAAACCATCTTCTCGCCAGCCCTCCTGGACTGTGACTAGATGATGTCGTGATATTTATGTCAAATTCTATGTTTACTTCATAAGTTGCAGTTTTCCAACTTTTCAATTTTGCCTTCTAGTTTGAGGTTGGCTGATGTATCAGAGACGATGTAGTGGTGGACATGCTCCAACTATCTCCAACTGGTATATGCGTATGGTTGAAGATTTCACTATGCACCCAACATGTGGAATCATGTGGTAATGGTTTTGCTAATTTGCGCAGATTTTGTCGCCTTCTTGGGAGGCCCACTCATCGCACCCGTCTTTCAAAACCAACGACCAGAGTGGATGTGATGGCCAGTCGATTGAAGTCTATTGATATCTTGAAGCTGCAGCAGCTGGCAGCCTGAGCAAAGGCTTTGTGGCAGCACAGTCCTTGATGTTGAAACCAAAACTCTTCCAGAAGTTTCTGCCACTTCCATTGATCTGTCCGCTTTGGGACGCAGCTCCTGGGCTGCTGGTGGCATGAACCGCTGCACAACCCCTCTGCAGAATGTCATCGCATTTGGCAGCATGGGTGATACATGGTGGCACATGGCGATCTTGTTCACTGTTCCTATCCCATCTCCACTTCTCTATTTCTAGCCAAAAAAAACTATTCCCATTGCTTCTCATCTAGTTGAGGCTCTCCATGTTTTCGTATGTGTTTGTATGTTTTCGTATTTGTTGTTGCTGTTGCTGTTGCTGTTGCTGCTGCTGCTGTTGCTGTTGCTGTTGCTGTTGGTGTTGTTGTTGTTGTTGTTGTCATTGTTGTTGTTTAAGTCATCGTTGTTGTTTAAGTCATCATTGTTGTATAAGTCATTGTTGTTGTTTAAGTCATTGTTGTTGTTTAAGTCATGTTTGTTGTTTAAGTCGTTGTTGTTGTTTAAGTCATTGTTGTTGTTTAAGTCATGATGTTGTTTAAGTCATTGTTGTTGTTTAAGTCACTGTTGTTGTTTAAGTCATTGCTGTTGTTTAAGTCATTGTTGTTGTTTACGTCATTGTTGTTGTTTAAGTCATTGTTGTTGTTTAAGTCATCGTTGTTGTTTAAGTCATCGTTGTTGTTTAAGTCATTGTTGTTGTTTAAGTCATTGTTGTTGTTTAAGTCATGTTTGTCGTTTAAGTCATTGTTGTTGTTTAAGTCATTGTTGTTGTTTAAGTCATTGTTGTTGTTTAAGTCATTGTTGTTGTTTAAGTCATTGTTGTTGTTTAAGTCATTGTTGTTGTTTAAGTCATTGTTGTTGTTTAAGTCATTGTTGTCGTTTAAGTCATTGTGGTTGTTTAAATCATTTTTGTTGTCAAAGTCATTGTTGTTGTTTAAGTCAGTGTTGTTGTTTAAGTCATTGTTGTTTGTTTAAGTCATTGTTGTTGTTTAAGTCATTGTTGTTTGTTTAAGTCATTGTTGTTTGTTTAAGTCATTGTTGTTTGTTTAAGTCATTGTTGTTGTTTAAGTCATTGTTGTTTGTTTAAGTCATTGTTGTTGTTTAAGTCATTGTTGTTTGTTTAAGTCATTGTTGTTTGTTTAAGTCATTGTTGTTTGTTTAAGTCATTGTTGTTTGTTTAAGTCATTGTTGTTTGTTTAAGTCATTGTTGTTTGTTTAAGTCATTGTTGTTTGTTTAAGTCATTGTTGTTGTTTAAGTCATTGTTGTTGTTTAAGTCATTGTTGTTGTTTAAGTCATTGTTGCAGCTGTTGCTTGGGTTTCTTGCCTCCACACAGCTCTTGCAGTTCGCGCTCAAGCTCTGCCAGGCCCGCTGCATTGGCCTCTGGCGACTGCCTGAGTTTCCAGGTGGCGACTGCCTGAACTGTTCGAGGGGATGACTTCGACAAACTCCAATTATCTTGGTAAAATGTGGGCAAAAATTGATGTGGCACGATAAAAAAAGATCAACTAGTTGGTGGTTGAGCCACCCCTCTGAAAAATATGAAAGTCAATGGGAAGGATGACATCCCATGTATTATGAAAAATAAAAGTCATGTTTGAAACCACCAACCAGTAAACTTCTGATCTTGCAGAATTTAGTGGTACCAACTTCCGGAGGTCATACGATACCTTTAGAATTCCTTGAAAGGGGAGTCGCTGCTTTCACTGCCACATAAAACTCACTGTTGCTGGTTGGGACTGCAAAGCCTTATATAAATACAGATGTTCTAAAAGAGAGCAATGCGAAAAATATTTCTTTGTCAATTAGCATCACCTCTGCAAATCTGCATCAACTTCTGTCGAACGTAGACTTGTTATCTCGCCATCGCTGGTTGCCTACGATTGCTGACCCTGATCCCACTGCATCCATTGACTCATTTGGATAGCCGTAAGTCAGTAAGTCGTCTTCCCATCACAAGAGAAATAGTGGCCAAACAGCAAATATACATACAAAATTGGTTTAAAAGAAAGTCATGCGTGTAATAGTTTGCTGGTATTGGATGGTATTAGCCTCATTGTACATTTAAAAAATGGGGGACCATCAACGCCTTGACAGGCGGCTTCTCACCCATTGGATCTGTAGCAGTGAGGCTGAAAACCCCCAGCTCGTCATTCGGCCAGCGCTCCTTGGGAAAATTGACCAGCAGTCACCAGAGGCCTACTTAGCTGCACGTTTACACACATAAAAGCTGGAGTGAATATTATATAATATGATTCAATGGGGATGTTTTCCAACTATATAAAATTGGGATGTGTTCCATGCAAATTGCAGTGATTTCCTACATAATGGAATGTCTACATATATTTACCGTTTTTGGGCGCAAAAACATGATGTTTGCTGTACTGCAATCCACCTCCCCATGGCCATTGTTCAATCATCTTCTCAGTGAGTCTCAGGGATGTGGCATGTGATGCATGTGGCCCCTGTATTTGGTGGCTATTCAGCTACAAAAAAAAAAACTGCCTGGATCATGGAAACATATGGAAACCAAGCATCCATCCAGGTTCTGGGAACCGGCGCCGCATCAGTCTGACCCTGCAGTGACCAACAGGCTTTAGATTGCCAAAAGGGATTCTGCGACTTGTTCATGAAATAAGTTGACCCAAGCTGAGGCTAGATGACAACAAAGTATTAATTACACGGCTTGGCGGTGCCCGTCTCGGAGTGGGATGTGGTTGACACATGTTGACACAACTCCTGAAACTTCATTGGCAAAAAACTATCTTTTGTAAACCGTGTTCCAAAATGTTCCTGTCCATTCATCAATGGGAATTTCAGGATCCTAACATGGAGGATCCTTATATATGGTAGGTACATGTAGGTACCTCCAATCAATCGGATCCTGGAATGGCCATTGAATTCATCTACAATGGGTCCAGAAAGATCACGATCGCCTTCGTCACCTCCACGGGAGCCATGTAGATGCAGCAGCCGACACCGAAGGGTCCGATCCAGGCGTCAAAAGCATCGGCCCAGATCTGTTGCAGTGACGCCATGGTCCCTGTGGAGGACGCCTGGTGAAAGTGGTTGATGTAAGGGGAACATCTACCACATGGGGAGATGGGAAGAAAACTATTGAATCTGAATGGGTTTCAACATGTTGCAACCAACAGCGAAATCTGGAGATATCTAGAGACCATGGTTCAAAAAGCCATCTGACTGAAATTGATTTTCGGAACTGATGGGTTGTTGGACATGTTTCAAGTTTAGGGCTGCATTTAGTTGAGGATGGTCATGATTCATGATCAGTTGTCGAATGACATGAGTCAGCTTGACTGCAGCGACTTGATGCTAGAAGCCACGAGCACACCGCTGTCGCTAGGCGTCTGGGTACGTGGGTTATATTTATTCACCACATGTCCAACCAATTGCAAATATGTACATGTTTTATTCGAGGTCAGAAATTACTACCCACCCTTATAATCCTCATATAATCATATATAATCCAATTTAGATCCATTTGATTAGATATTTGGTAAGTCAAAATGCCACTTGGTGATCTTGGTGATGATGTTCGTAAATTCAAACTATTTCAAGCTCCTGGTACAGAATGTCCCACACTTGCCAAGTACCGCAACACCTCACCATGAGCCCCGCGCCAAGAGAGAAGGACGTTCAGCCTTCAGCTGTTCCCGTTGCCTGCCGCGAAAAGCACACGACCCAGGTTCCAGAAAGCCAACTGCCAAGACATGGGAAGGTCTGACCGCAACTTTTTCAATTTTGAAGCTTCATTTGCAACATGGAAATGCATGGAAATGCCAAGCCAATCATGCACAATGTCACAAATTCACGAAAACATACGAAAACAATCATCACAAAACTGCATGTAGATATGCCATCCCAATCCATTTCCTGCGCCAAATGTTGGACATTGTTGGACATCACCCCTGTTCAGCTGGGGCCTCTGATGATCAACTCCACCCAAGATGATCTTGCACGAGCAGCCCAAGTCTCTAGCCACCTGTGCCGGTCAAAAGGTGGCCACCCCTGGCACCAAAAACAAAAGTGCTCCAAACGTCTCCCAACTGAGGAGATCTCGACTCAAGAATGAGCATATTGGAACTATATGGAACTATTAGAATCATGTGGGACTTTGCCAAAGAAACCCAGGGACATCAGGGACCCTTTTCTCCCAAGCCTGTTGTGACCCATCCCAAGCGGTGCACCTGACCCACCTGTTGGGCCAATTCACGGCTGGGCACCAAGACCAACCTGGGCGCTTCGACAGCGTGGTGCATCCCTGGTCTGACCCGGTGCCCACCGATGCCCACGGCGCCAAACCCATTGGCATCTCGCTACCAGGATGCCCTGCCCTGCGGGTCGTAGTCGGCCTGCTGGGCGTTGGATCGGCTTGGGCCCTTCAGCGGAGAGGAAATGATGAAAATGATGAAAATGATGAACATGATGAACATGATGATCCTGGTGGTGATGATGATGATGATGATGATGATGATGATGAAACCACCAACATCCACAGGGACCATACGTGGCCAAAATCTTCCCGGCCTTGAGAGTCAAGATCCTCCAACACCCGAGCCCAAGCATCTTGCAGCGCCTCCCATGGGCGTCCCATGGTGTGGGATGGGTGGGAACTCTTTGGCAGGGCAAGTAGCATTACAAGCTAAAGGCTAAAGGCGCGGTTCAGCTTCCAGAAGACATTTCAATCTACATCAAGCTTCAAAGTTCACAAAAAAGGATGTCAACCAATGGCAAAATTACAATGCAATTTTATCAAATTTTATCAACTTCACATATTGGCAGCAGGGTCAGAATCGAAAGCAACTTGGCAGGATTTGGCAGGCCAAAATCGCAGCTGTTTCAGCTAAAGCTGCTGGAGGATTGCTGGACGATAGCATCGTAGAAGATGGCATCCATAAAATATCATTAAATATCATTAAATCATATTTCATATCATTTCACAATATTTCACATCATTTCGTTTGGTTCAAGGTGGTGAGTTGCCCCACATATGATGCCTTCCAGTGGTTTCTAAAAGATTGTACCCCCACAGGACGGCCATCCGATGCCTGATCCTTGCTGCCTTCGGCAGCTTTTCTGGCCACCTGCGTCATGGCCTGCGTCCGTCAATGAGGGGTACCTAAAAACTGCCATTCTGATGGAAAAATATGGGAAAGTATGGGAAAATGATGATTCACCAGAGGATTTGGGGATACCCAACTTGCAGGCAAACCCAAAATCTAGAGTTTGAATCTTGGTCTGCATCTACATCACCAGTACCATGGCCATTGGAAACTTTGCCCGCCTTGACGACTTCTTCGTTCTTTTTCTCGGCATAGACTTTGCACAGCCGATCCAGAATCGTATTGTTGCTGGGCCGGCCGATCAAGAGAGGTGTTGGGTTGCTCAATTGGAAGACCTGAGGTAAGGTGTCCAACCTGGAGGGAGTAATATGGTGTAATAGTATGATGTTATCCAACCAGCACCCCGGGGGTTACTCATCATTTTCCCCAAAGATCCCCAAAGGTCACCCTTTTCAGACAGCAGTTTTCTGGTCAAACTACCAGTTTCGCCTGCCACGGCCAGGCTCAAAGGACCTGGAGATTCGAAGGTGAAAAACAAAAAAATGGGGGGGCTACTGGCTAGGGCAGGGGGACAAGTATATGACTTGTATACTGTGTGTATATATACTGTATATTGTGTGTGTGTATACATACCTTTTATACATATACATATGCATATAAGCTGCATATAATACATTTATGTAAACACATGTGTATATAATTAGACTATACTATATATATATAATTAATTATAATGTTCACATATGTGTATATATATATATATGTGGTTAACTTTAGTCACACGTTCCTTGCAACTACTGGACCCAATGGATGTTCATCCGAAACTGATGAGTTCATAGACTATATAGTAGTTTGGTGGCTTCGACCCATCCCCGAAAATGGAAGAAATTGCAATCAACATTCCAGGTGGGATGAAGAATAAATCAAGACTTGAAACCACCAGCACGACTTGCATGTAAACACACCTGAACACATTATAACTACAATCAAGTACACACATAGTGAGCAGCTGTCAAACCTCTGACATGCACATCAACAAAGTCGGGGCGCGTTTGATGTTTTGAAACAAACATTCCACATTCAAACTGTAGCACAACGTCGTCCACACTTCCGTTCAAGCCTGATCGTCTCATGGCAAACTTCATATGACAATACCATCTATACTGACAAGTGCCGTATTATTATTATATGTACCACAGTACTCACATGTATTACTGTATGATACATGGGACAAATACATACAAATACCATCTAACTATAGAATTTGAATATGTAGCTCACATTCAGACACAATACGCACTTTTCGGCCTTGGATACAACGCCTGGAAGCGTTCAAAGATGGCATCCAGGGTGGGTGGCGCGGCACACTGTGCCTGGTGAAGCAACTCAGCCCTGCCATAAACCTACCATTTGGGGAGTGTTCTACCACTAATTGGGTAATATATTGGGGATGATGTACTGGGGATGGTTTGTTGTATGTTTATTGTATAAGGGTTAGCTCATTACCGAGCATACAAACATCAAAATTACAGCTGACAGATTGCAATGATACTAGTTTTTTGAATCGCATACACACACAATACATGCAGACATAACGACAAGACTGGGACATCCAAGAAATCTAAGGAGTCAAGAGTATGAACCCTCAGATGTTTCCATTTCACTCAGGTTTTGGTATGTTCCAATGCCACCCACCTTGCAAAGCCCATCAGCAAGGAGTGGCAACAAATATGCCAGCCTCGATCGAAAATGTGTCAGTGCCCCCGCAGAAAGTCTTGGGAATAAAAGACGCAGTGCACTGCGGTGCTGGTTTGAGGAAATTATGCAGTACATATGAATATGTACAATTCTATACAGTAATTGTAAAAGTGATGCGTGATGACGTGTGCCATAAATTCTGTCCATACCATGATGCAGTACGTATCACATCACACCCACATGTATACACATGTGATATAGCTTCTGGAGCATGTTGATATATGTTGATCCACCTTCGCCCTTGCTCCCGGAACGGTGACAGGAGCAACCTGAGGCACCTCACGTCTTCCCACTTCCTGTTGGGGCAATGCCCACCAGGTCACGTCCTCAGGATGGAAAGTGCACGGTTCATCACCCATATTGGCATCTTCAACTGCGAGAAAATAGTTTACAGTACACAAAAAAAAATGAAAAAAAAACAGGGCAATCCAAAGATGGTACATCATACAATAATTATACTAATTGTACTTTGGAATGATCAAATCATACATGATCTCAAAGACTTGATTCCAGTGGTTTTCTCATGTATTCTCATGTTTCACCTCCATCATGCCTTTTGGCTTTGTCTGAAAATAAGCTGACCCAAAATTTGATGTCATCGTGTTCCCCTTGAAAGAACCACTTTGGAAGGTATACCCCATGTTCATTCAGACAAACCCAGATTGGAGATAGCTTAATACTGGTTACACATCCCATTACATCCCCATTAATATCATATGGCAGTGTGTCAAAACCAATAGTACCCCTGTAGTTCACATCAAAATAGCTGGGATTTATGGATGTTCATTCCCACTAAAAATGGTATTAATAGGTATTAATCCATAGCCATATTATGAAAAATACAATTTTTCATGGTGAAATCATCACTTTCCCAGACCGACCTTCCCGAACGTGGCAGCGACTGCAGGATGGATCGAAGGGCATCTTTGGCTCCCAATCCTCCTGGCAAGGCTCCAGTTACCTGGTAGCAGAATAGGAATTTCTTACGTCTTGGAATTATTGTTCCATAATTGTTGTGGAAAACCCATGAAGACCCAATTTGTTGGTTGAGTTTTCACCATTAAAAAAATGTTTTACCAGGTTAATTAATTACCATGTTTCACCCATGTTTCATCCAGTTCTTCAACAGTTTTCCAGCATTTTTTGCGGCACTTGGTAGCCCCTCCACCCGTTCCCCGTCCCCGTTTCGCACCTCCGGCCGCGCCGTGGGCAGCGGCACTTGCAGCGCCTGCTGCAGCAGCTCCGAGGCGCGCGGCGCGTGTAGCGCCTCCAGCGCCAGCGCCCGCGGTGAGGGCGCTGGGGGCAGACCACCTGGTGGGATGAGGATTGCTATGTTTAATAGGGATTTATAATAAATATTAATAAATAATATGGAATTATAGTGATTTATAATGATTTTTTAATGATGTTTTAATGATTTATAATGATTTAAAGTTATTTATAATGATTTAAATATATCATTGGATTGTTGGGGATTGATCATTGGTATGTGCGATAGAATTGGGAAGAATGGGCCATTAATGGATGATCAATGGGATGATAATTGGGATATAGTTCTTAATTGTGATTATATATCTGATCAATTGGGATCATGTTGATCATTAATGAATGATTAATGGATGATGAATTGGGATATCATTGAAATATCAATGCAGATATACTTATTAATCATGTATATATATATATATATTAGCAAACTAAGAGTTTGCGAACTGCACAATCGCTATGTTTTGGGTGGGGATTTCTCATTGGCATTATGGGATGTAATTGGAATTCATGCATGATAAATGGCTGATACTTGGGACATCGTTGGTGTATAGTGGTTAATTATGGTTATACTTCTGATTAATTTGGATATAATGGGGATATAATGGATGATTGATGGATGATAATTGGGATATATATCTTTATATATAGTGGGAATTTATTGTGACTAGATTAATGTGGGATATCATTGGGACTAATGAACTATTACTTCAAGTGGAATATATGGAACCATGATAATGAGATATGTTTCACCTTATACCATATGTTCATGGGATGATAAGCATGGGATATTAATGATGGGGTTTTAACAAGGGGTAACCATGGGATAAATTCTAAAGATATGCCATATTTTGGGGGATAGTAATGCTTCATCAAATTAATGGGATCAATCATTGCGTAAAACAAAACACAAATAGCTACTGGATGCTAATGGAATACAATGCTGGGTTTTAAACGTGAGATATTAGCTGTAGTATAATATGAAGTCATTAAAGTAATTAGTAATTGAATACGATATGATAATGCGATATTCATGACGAAATTAAACATTGGATACTGCTGTGGGAAAAAATGTCGGGATGTAAGGGATAACCGTTGAGTGCAATCGTACGATGTGGATGGGAACATCTTCAGTTCGAACATGCTCGGATCAGAATTGCCCAAGGACTTGACTTGAATGCTTTAATACCAAAAACATCCAAAAACCAAAAACAAATACCTGGAAACATGGGGAAAAAAGACAAAGATGCTCAAGCTTTGTGCTTTTCCTTCCGACCCATAGGATCCATAGGCCTTGAAACTCACCGATTCAACACCAGCGGTCCAAGACCCAGCCAGGACCCCAACGGCCATCTCTGAGTTTCAGTAGTTGGCCCCAGCATTCTGCCTGCATCGATCACGAAATGCAGAGAAGCTGTGATTACCCTCTGGTGAACTAACATAGCAATGGAAAGATCCACCATTTTTAATGGGAAAATCCACTATAAATGGCCATTTTCCATTGCTATGTTAGTTCACCAGAGGGTATGTCAGATCATGGGAAATCTTTCATCACATCATGAAGCCGATAATCACTTGACAATCTTAAACTTATGTTGTAGCTGTTTACAGTTGATCATCATCAGGGTTTCCTTCGGCAATCAAACATGGCTTGCTGAAAAATCCTCCATTTAGTTCGCTGATTCTCCCACTTCCATTTAGTTAGGAGATTTCCCGAAATCATCATCCAACCATGAGTTATCATATAGTTATCATATAGTTATCATTTATCCCCATTCATACTCCATTGGTATTTCATCTTTTTGCTCCATGAATTGATCGCCATCAAAGGTTGCCATTGAATCCACGGCCTGCACCGCCGTGGTGGTGCCATGGCCCCCCGCGCAGCGCTTGGCGGCGCGCGCCAGCAACACATGGACCCCACGGCTGCAGAGGTCATCGAAGCGGAGGACAGGCGAGCACCTTGGATGAAAAAAAAGTGAAATGACCAAGTTAGTGAGGGCTAGTCATAGCTAGTGTTAGTTTTGGTTACTTATAGATTAATATAGATTATAGATAGTTCTAGCTAGTTACAGTTAGTTATAGCTAGTAGTGCTTTGCAATAGTTAGCAGACGGGTTAGCGAAGTTACTAGCAATAGTTGGCAACGGGACTAACAGGTCAATAATAGTTCGTACGTATGCAACTTTGTATAGCATCCTGGAGACTCAATCGAGCAAGTCAAAACGAACATAATTATGTACGTCTATCTAGCTATCTATTTATGTGTATTTATGTAACTATTTGTCTAACCTGCTGATTCTGTATAATGATGGAGGTTGGGTACATACAAGACTTGAGCTATGACTCCGAAGAAATGAGGAAAAACCTCAGGAAAAATGGACAATTATAAACAATGTGCAGATTGTGATGAAGTTTGGTCACCAAAAACAAGCGAGGTGGTTCCAATGTTCTATGTCCTTAACGGAGTTGCTGGCTCATACATTCATACCTTACTCCATCAACAGTAAAGTTCCACCATCAAATGCGCATCTGGGCAGATTGGGAAAATACAAAACAGAACTTGACCCATTTTGGGGTTGTGCTTCCCTTCAAGCCAGCGTCATACATTCATAATATGTACATACACTTCCAATATGTATACAATTGTATATATAATTATATATGTATATATAATTGCCTCATGTTTAATGGATACACGGCCCTGGTTTATCTGGTTCAATAATGGGGTACCAAGAGAACCATCCAGTATCATACCTTCTAGGGGCCCAATAAGACCCAATACCTCCATCAACCAAGCTTCCTGGAAGGGATGCTGCTTAGATGCTCTAAAAATATGAAAAAACTATCCAGGTATGCTACCTAGTCATCATAGTATCTCTGGATATTATATCTACCCTCTGGTAATTTAACATAGCTATTGAAAATGGCCATAGAAATAGTGGATTTTCCCATTGAAAATGGTGGATCTTTCCATAGTTATTTTGACATAACCAGAGGGTATCCCTCCATCGACCCCAACCAGTTTTCCCGCAGTGGCAAGACACGCCTCGGCACGCTCCCCGATGTCACCGATGTCCCCACCCTTCTCCAAGGATTCCAAGGAGATGCCACGTTCGCGGCGGTAGAGATGCAGCAATTCCCCAGTCAACCTGGAGAAAAGTGTAGGAAATGCCAGTAATGACCAGAGGCTTGATGAAAACAGGTGAAAACAGTGAGAAAAGTCAAAAAAAATGTCATTAAAGTGGACAAATTGGCATGTCTAATCCGATTAGGGATGAGTATCATTATGAACTTGGGGATGATTGTCATCCACGAGCAGTGGAAAAAGGAGTATCATAGTTTTTTAAAAAGTAATGATTAATGACCAGAGGTTCCATTCATACTCGCGCCCTCCTAAGAGTGATTACCCACACTTAAGCCAGAGGCAAGGTGAATCAAAAATGAGTCACAGGAATCTTCTGGGTAGTAATATGGCATACTCCAATCAAGCTTCAAAATGGATGTATATAGGTGATGATGAGTGTGAGCCACAAGAAGAATAACTATAGCGAATAACTATAATGAATAACTATAATAAATAACTGGCCCTAACGATAATGATGATACGTGTACAGTATATATGTACAATCATATGTATACGTGTGTCTATATATGTTTCTTTATTGATGTAATTATTGATTTTTTTATTTGTCTATTTATTTATTTGAATTGCTGCATCTGTAGCCATGAATCTATGACTTCCTCCAATGAAAGTGTAGTAATTTTAAAAAAAAATGATCCAACTTTTGATTATAGCTGGTTATACAAATCCCGTATTATATATAATACGTATATATTCGAATGTTAGATTTCACATTCCCGCTCCAGCTCAAAGGTACGTGTCTCCCTCAAAAAAATTGCTTTTCCCTAGATCTAGTATATTACATGGTTGGGATTGCATAGGTGTATATATATATATATATATGATGAAGCTCAAAGCTACCTTGCTGGCTCACTGCCTCCTTGCTAGCTCAAAGCTCAAAGCTACCTTGCTGGCTCAGTGCCACGTAGCTGGCTCAGTGCCACGTAGCTGGCTCAATGCCACGTAGCTGGCTCAGCGCCTCGTAGCTGGCTCAGCGCCACGTAGCTGGCTCAATTTTTTTAGCGGAAAAAAAAAAAGAAAAAAAAAACCTCGCAGAAATTGAGCCGGCTACATGCCCTTGAGCCGGCTCGCCAATGCGTCATGAACCCGGCCAATACATAGCTAGTATTCGTTTTGATGCTCTCACATTCGTCCGCCAGCTCAACGTGACGTAGCTGGCTCAATTTCTGCGAGTTTTTTTTTTTTTTTTTCGCTAAAAAAATTGAGCCAGCTCGATGCCATTGAGCTAGCTCGATGCCCCTGAGCCAGCTACGTGGCATTGAGCGAGCTCGATGGTGCTGAGCCAGCTCGTTGCAGTTGAGCGAGCTCGCAGAAACTTCCCAATCTTTTAAATTGCATTAAATTGCCAGGTTCAATCCCCACTGATTACTTTAGTACTAGATATGGTACCTCTGAAAAAGCCCAAGGTGACTGTCAAAACATACCCCTGATGAAATTGAGCCAGCTACATGTTTTGAGCTAGATCGAAAAAATGGAAGATTGGGAATTCCAACATTATATATATATATATACCACCATGGGCATCCGGTATCCCATGAAATTCCAATTTGATTGATTAAAATACCATAAAATACCCATAGATAGATACAGTTAGATACACGTATAGCTCCCCAAAAAGATAGAGTTCAGTAAAACCCTACTGTTCAATGATCTAAGACGATCCAGATTCTACTTTTCCGTTTTTTTTGGGGGGTTGCTATCCAGTACATATACGTATGGTTATGGGTCAAAAACCCTGGTACCCTAGATACCCTTGGTGCCCTATTTTATAGCTGGTTTTTGTGGATGTTTATTCCCATGATATTCCATGGAATATTCCCCTACAGATCTAAAATAGCTGGTTAATGGATGCTTATTCCCATGATATTCCCATGATATTCCATGATATTCCATGATATTCCATGATATTCCATGATATTCCCATGATATTCCCATGTTATTCCCCTACAGATGGCACAGTCACAGGGTGATCAAACCCATCCCCCTACAGTCACCTGCGTCGTGATGCGCTACAGGGACCGTTGGGACCATCTGGTAGTAGCTCCTCGCTGTGAGCGTCTGCCTGGCCATGATCTTGGATGAAAACATCAGGATCTACCCTCTGGTAAACTAACATAGCTATGGAAAATCGCCATTTTTAATGGGAAAATCCACTATTAATGGCCATTTTCAATAGCTACGTTAAATTACCAGAGGGTAACTGGGGACATAGAAAAAAACATGAAAAAAAACCTAGGGATCTAACTATGATCTAACCATCTCTAACCCACCATATGCATGGTAGGTTTGTCCAAACATTGGGGATTTTTATGATGATTTAACTAAGAGGCATGGGAAGATCAAAAGGATTTAATGGAATATGCCATCAAGAACATCCAAGTCGGTTTGTCAAAAAAATGTGCCCCCAAAATGTGGCCGTCAGATAAGAGGGAAAATGATGATAGCCATTGAGTTCAGGGGGTGCCCTGTTTTCAGACAAACCTCCTGTGATGTCCATAATGAAAATGATTGTTTGCAAATTATGGCGGGCACACACGCACACACCAAAAAGGAAAAAACACACAATAAATAAACACACATTGATGTGTATCTGTCTGCAAATGGGACATGAATGCATCCGCATGTGAATATTGGCTGTTGGCTTTTTTGCCTGCACGCAGTGTCTAACGGGTTTTAGATTTACAAAAATCTCGAAGAAAAGTTTGTGTTCTTGCAGGCAGGACAGGGTTGAGAGACCTAAAGGAAGCTTGAGCCATGCGACTCTGACTTCGAAACGCAGGAGGCAGGGGCACATACCAAGTCATCAGCTTAACGCACTTTTGCCACATCGATCCTCATTGGTTTCGAAGATTGTTCGAAGTGTCATATGTGTGGGTCCTGTTACAGCTCACCCTAATGGTCAAAGTGCTCGTGCTCATTCAGGGGCCTTTTGACACAACATTCCACCCTGCAATATATTAAAGTTTTCTGAAATGTTAACAGATGTCGATAGGTTACCCCACTCATCAGTCAGATCCTCTGTCCCCGGAGGGGCCTCGCCGTCGCTGAAGCGGTCCGAAGCGGCTTCCGTTGCGGTGGTGTCGTCTGGCGGAGGGATGCCGGACCGAGATGGGTATTTTCTCAGGAAATGACCAGCTAAATCTGGCTAACATGAAAGTATTGAAACCCAAAAGTGGAAAATCTTCTTGGGTTTGTACGTACATAAATAAATATATATATATATATTACATATATCCGAACTTGAGGGATATGGATGGAAATGGGAGCTAGCAGCTAGCTACATGTCCATGTGAACTCTTGGAAGATCTTGGAAGCATACCAACCCAATCAGCCCATGCATTCCCCTAACATCTGCAGCTGATGGCCGTGTAGGCGAGTTGCTTGAAACTTTGCCATCTCCAGGTGGGGCTTCCCCTTCCTGGGCACCGCACAATGGCACAATATATCAATATCTGGTGCCTTCAGTTGGCAGCAATCATCCTACCAGGTCCTACCTTATAAGGACTGGCCCAACAGCTAAGCAAACATCCCTCAGAGAAGCTCCTCAAACAGTCCCCACATGCCCCCACTGAAGCCTCCGAGTTGTCACTCTCGCGGAGCAGGGCGAATGCGGAGGAACCAGGCATTGTGGAAAACGGGTTACAATTGCATAAAATTACCACGTGGTCTGCAAGAAATACTAAGGATGAGGGATTGGTTCCACTTTGCCGTTTTGGAAGTTTTGGATCCCAGTAGTGAAGTCCAACAAAAACGGGCAGTATTAGGGGTCCCTCTCAAGTGTGGCTAATCCCATCCCAAGAGCATTACATCATTACATACCTCCTATATGGACCCGCAAACGAACAGATCCAAGATTAAACCAGTGGTTTAATATTGTTCTAGGGGTTATTTAATGATTTTAATGTTAAGGGGATTGGATTGATGTAGTTGTTGGTTTTTCGTGGCTACTCCTCATGCTAGGCAAGCTGGCTGGTATCAACCTTTCCCCGGTGTGCAAGGGTAGATGATTCCAATTATATATATAAATAACTGCCCTGTGGAAGGCTAAAATGGCAATGGGAATCCCCACTTTCAACCATTCAATCAACTCATCTACAAATAGCTGATTTTTCCCTTATTACTGTTTGTCATTCAGAGGGAAATCATGTCTGCTCTTGAACAGCTTTGCAAAACAGGACTGAGCCTGACTCCTGCGCTGACCATCATGAAATGGAACCGGGCTGACGAGTGCTTTCCCGCTGACCAACTGCGGATTCTGCCAGCTTGCCGGTGCAAAGGAATTCTCAGGCTGATGGGCTAGGGCAACATAGATCTTCGGTATTAACGCCACTCACATATTGACATTGTCGCACGAAAACCCAGCCCGAACCACACCGGTGACTACCCGAGCAGTCTTATTTTCCAATCAAATCCTGCATCCAGTAATTCACACGTCGGGAATAACATTGTGCTGCTATACCTATCTGCTGAGCCGCAACAAAATCTCATGAAGCGAAGCTCTCAGGAATCCTTCTTTGACTCTTCTTTCTCTGCCTGGGGCATGGAGCACCACATGGCACCAGTGCTACACCGCCTACCGTACTACCACGCCACCGGTCCTGCGGGACTGATGTTCCAGTGAATCAGCTTTATCCTTGAAAAAAAACATCAGAGCATCCTAGATAGAGCACCACAAATATCTAAAGATAACAATAAATACAGTGGTCATAGCATCGTATTATTGATATATTCTATGATATCTCCATTATACCACCATCAAATAATCATTTCCCATGTTACTCTCCATCTTTTTCCCCTTAAGGCCCTTGGCTTCAGGTTACCATCCAGCCTTCTTCTCGGTGCCGGCCTCCTGCCTATGGCACTTCATGGTGCATGAGACATGGATGGGATGCTGGATGATGCTGGGGTGGAGCATGAGCTACCTATCCCTAAAGTTCCTTGAATATTGTGTAACTGTATATATATATACATATGTGTGTGTGTGCGCGTGTTATTTTTCATTATTACTATTCCTAGTATTACTATTATATATTTATTATTTTTTAAAACATACCAGGTTACCAGGTTGGCTCAAACCCGTATAGGGACCGTTGTAGACCCCAAATCAGGTATCTAAAATGAAATCCCAAAGGGGTGATTTTAGAACCCTCCGTTTCCGGGACCAATCTGGGGGGAGGGTTCTGAAATGTTGTGCCTATCTGTTACAAACATCATGTTAAAAAAACTGTTGAACCTTGAGTCCAGAGTTAAAAAAAAAACGGTATGGAAATTTGATCCCAAAAAAAAGGTCCAGAGTCCACACGAAGCCGAGAAAAAGAAATACTTCAAAGAGCACTCCATGATACTCCATAGCAAATCCATAGCCTTTTTCAGCCCCTCCGGCGGCCACAAATGGTATCAAATGGTCTTGTGATTCCCTACGGAGCCAGGCTTTTGGCCAAAGTCTTTGCTTCCGTTCTTGCCAAGCCATTAAACAACACATAACAACACACATCCAAATGCCTTCAGATGCCTTCAGCATGTCTTCGCATTCCAATGTGCCGAGACCCGGTGAGGGATGACTTTGCGTGCTAAATTCGACGAGCATGCCGCTGGGGGGTTGCTTTCCGTGGTGTCCTTACTGTTGGGGTGGGTCAAGCTCCAGCAGAAGTTGGGGATACCATGCTGGATTCATCATACTTCAGCAATAATTAGGACAAAAAGGGGCGGCTTATGGCTGCTTCTTATATTTGAGAATGGTTGTGTCTTGGGGACAGGTTCTGAAATGGTTTCCTTGATCTTGGGTTGGGTCTAGTCCCAGCAGAAGTTGAGGGATATCATATTATACGTATGTTTTAGACCCACCATACTCCAACAATAATACAAACAAAGAGATGGCCTGCCTAAATTATAAATTGAGAATGTTGTTGTTTTTTCTCCAAAGGTTCGGAGATAGTTCCTCAACTTTGGGTTGGATTTCTACCTATCAATTGGCCGCTCACTTCACCTCTTGTCAGAGATGGGGAGCTAGACAAGATTTGACCCAAGCCTTTTCGGAATTACAGAAAGCAAAAAAAAGGAACCCAAATGCATACAGATCCCCAGCAAATGCACGCACATTTCTGACGCGGGATTTTACGGCTACTTGTGACACAACAGGCAAAAGCTACTTTATGTGTGCCTCAGGTGACAGCACAAGAAGCAAACATGCATTTCAAAATGGATTCAAAAACCATGCATTGTTGAGGTAATGCGAAGGCAAAGGTACAGCTACTACTGTAGTACCCACCACAAAACTGAGCTGAACCCACAAGTTCCCCCAGTCAGAAATGTTCTAACAGAGCTCAAGAAACAAACTGAACTGTGAATTCGACATGTTTTCCATTCTACTGTCTATCTGAATATATATATATATTTATATAATTATATATATATATTGCGACATAATGCAATCATGTGCAATCGAGCCTTATAAATCATCATGAACCATGGTCTCAACAGGAGGACCAAAGTGGCAAATTGGTTTCAACCACTGGCTCACTGGGGATCACAAAACCTGCACAAACCTCCAAAGTTCTACAATGCCTAGACCGCAGAAGTCTACAATGAAAACGTGATCATTTTAGAAGCCCGAGGTCTTAGCCTTAAGATCCTTAAGGCCTAGGCATTCTAGAACATTCGAGCCCCCAAGGCCCCCAGCAGCTTCTTCAGTCTCTCCTGGGAACCACAGGGCCACCCAGTCAACTGCAGTGTTCCTTAGGTCGCTACCTTTGCACCCCCTTCACAACAAAAAGTACTTGTACCGAGCATATTCAAACTCTTCACCCTCAAACAGGCTGCAGAATCACATCAGAAGTGCAACATTAACGGTTAACGACGAAACAAGAAAGATTGTGGGTGTCTTTGGCCAACTGTGAGCTACCCTCCCTTTACCACGACCGAAAAGAAAAACTGACAAATGCTGAAAGGTGCTGAAAGCTCAGCGCGGCGATCCTCCATCTCTTTCCGACTCTTTGCGTCCTCAGAGCCTGATTGATCCAGGTAGCCTCAGGACCCAAGGCTGCCACAAGAAACATGCTACACCTGCTACACTAGAATCAGTAGATGAGCGCAACAATTCTATCGAAACTTCATATCCGCGCCGAATCCGCACCTTGCATGTCCACGTCGGCATACAATCTCTAAATCTCTGTTTGTGTGCAGGACATGTACTTCACAACACATTGAAATATCAAAATGAAAACTGCTCCCGTTGCAGTGCTTCATTGTAGATAGGCACGCTTTGCTGCAATCAGACAAATGTCTTAACTGCCCCAAAATAGGCTACTACTGCGACGTTTTGAAAGGTGCCCCTGTCCTTGACACCCGTATTGAGCAACCAACCATGTGAAAAAAATGACAATGTCCATCAAACCAACCACGATTCAGGATGGGGGGTCCCGGTTTCCTTCACACAATGAATTGGTGGATGTGAGAGATTCATAGAGATTCTCTAATGATTCTCCAAGTTTAGGACACATCTGACCGCTTCATGACCATTCTGTCCCCAAAAACCGTGGTTTGGTCATGATTATCCAAGAACAACTCCATAAATGTAGATCCATGTTTGATCTAGGCCATGTTGATCCCATCTGAGGGCCCCTGCAGAACAAAATGCCAAGGCAAATCAGCGTCACTCCAATGCCGTAGATCCTAAATGATCATGATCACGGCCCGTGGTAAACTGGCAAACCCAATGATTAAAAAATATGTAAAAAAACATCCTGACTACCACAATTGGATGGTGGAAATCATCCCCAAATGATAGTTTTATTATGTATTATTGGGTCTGTCACAGGGACCCAATGGTGATCATGATGACTTCGTGCTGAGCTCCCTGGCCCGTAGTTTGTCATGGAAGTGTTCAGTATCTGCGGCCGCGGGTGACGGAGAAAGTCATTATGGACCTTTGCAGAGGACAGATGTCGTAACATCTGACATCCATATGATGGGTAATGGTACAGTAAGCATCCAGTACATAGTGTTCAAAGTCTCAAACCTGTGTGCTTTTTGAAATAATATAGTGATGGTAAAATCCCATATTTTGCGATGATTATATAATGATGATAACATGATAACTGATTACAGTTGATGGGATAACTAACATATCTGCAATCATGATCTCCTAGCCCAGCCATGCTCAACCATGCCCAACCCCTGGGCATCAAACAGCTATCCACTTGTTGGAAGGCCTCGTTTTCACACAGCCAGATCCACCGAAAAGCCATCTGGTGGATGCCATTTGGTAGGGTGGCGCCCGGGAGGCTAACATGTGAGCAGTTTCATATGGCTGAACATGTGTATGTAGAAATAAATGCTGTGATATATGATATATTATCATGTGTATATATATATATATATATATGTGTGTGTGTGTGGGTTATACATGGTTAATACATGAAGAGAATGCGTTGGAAAATTGACATTCCCTTAATTTTATGGCTAAGAAGAAGAAACACACCCAAAAAAAAAGAAAAAACGAAAAGGACACGAATTGCGCCAGAATGCTTTGTATATGATGTATATGTGTGTTTTGTTTCTTTTGTTGTTTCATGCTGTTTCTTCTGGCGTTGTGTTTTCTCTGGAGACTCGGGATCCCAAATATATAAAAATCCGATGAACCAGAAACAACCAAGAAACAACTTGCGACTGAGTGCTGTGCATATTCATGTGCCGTTTCTTTTTATATGTGTTTTTCTTGTTTCGTTTTCGTTTGTTGCCAAGACAAGGTGCAAATTAAATTGGGATCCCAAGTCTCTAGAAACTAAAGGGCAAAAATCAGCAAACCACTCTGTTGCAATGTACTTGTTTTTGTTGGATTCTCTTTTGTTTTTTTTTCTGCCTTTTCTACGGGAAAGTATAGATTATAGATGTGGGGCCACCGAGTCTCCACAGAGAAACAACAACACAACCAAAAACACAGAAAAAACACAGAAAAGAAACAAAACACAAATATACAAAGCACTCTGGCGTGACTTGTTCATTTTCGATGTCATTGTGTGCCTTGTTTGTTTCCGTATTGTTTCTTTTCTGTTGTTTGCCTGTTTCTTTGTCGTTTTTTGTTTCTTTGTTGCTTCCATTTTGTTTTTACATGAACATGTGCTTGTTTTGTTGTGTTTGAGTGTTTTGTTTTTTTTACCATGATTTTTCTGATTCCCACCCAAATGCAGGATTGTGATGGATTGTGCATCATGACTATATGGGTTAGTGTGTGAGAACTTGATAGTGCAAGCATATGACATCTTGAAGCCTTTTGGATGATTGTTTACAAATCCAGCCATGGTCTTTCACGAGAGTTGGTATGGCCAATTTTGGAGGCCCTGAAGGCTACAAACTTTATCCATTCCATTTTTGGGGTACCACATGTTCGACCCATATCCATCTTCGATAGGGGCCTATTTGCAATCCTAGTGGTGGTGGCTAATCAAACTCAGTGCCAAGCTTGTCGAAGGGATAGTCCGCCGCCTCCTGCTCTTTATAGCCTGCGACGTTCCCCGCGTAACTCATCTTAAAGCTGCAGGGCTACGGGGTCGCAGCAAAAGGGTAGCGCTCCATATCTTGCCAACGTACCCCCATAATGGGCCATAGGCACCCCCAAATGAAAACAAAAAACAATATTATACCAGTGTTTCTAGGTGGCATTCCCAAAAATGGGAAAAATCCAAAGGACATAATCACATAGTTGTTGAACCAGTCCCATTACATCCTATTGTTGCTAGTTAAATCCGCATATATATATAATCATTTACTGTTTGACATGTTGGGCACTGCTCAATGGGTCAATCGCGCCTCCTTGAGCCCATTCTTGCAGGGAATCCAGGCCTCCCATCGCCATAGTGCCAGAGGGAGAGAGAGAGAGAGAGATATATATATATAAATATATATGGCTATGGATCAATACCTATACATACCATTTTTAGGGGGATAAACATCCATTTACCAGCTATTTTGATGTTCACCAGGGGGATAGGGTTCTGACCCATAACCATATATTATAAATAATATAGGCATTTGTGTGTGTGAATTGTACTGTATCCTTAAATTGGTGTGCTGGATATGTCCCCCCAATTTCCCGGGGTTGCTGCTTCATCTTGTGCATCTGAGCCCACTGCTTCTGCGCCCGGCGAACGTATACCTGGCTGGATCTGACCATGGACGCCGAAAAACTATGGTAGAATTCCCCCAAGAGTGTGGCAATTTCAATGGTGAAAATGATTTTCAGAATTTTTCAGACAAATCCAGTTAGCCATTAAAGCGGCTCTCTACCTGTTGATGGCTGCTTGGGGCCCATTATGGCCCATTCTTGAGGTGGAAATGTATGATATCACAAGATGCCACTCCTGGAAATCGATCACATGCTTATGTGACAACCAAGTCAATACCTCAGCATTGCCAATGGACATCTGGGTCAACCAAATGAGCACCACCGAGTTGTGGAACTTCCAGATCCTACATGTCCTCCCGTTTTCAAGGGCCCACACCACCAACAACCACACTAAAGCCAGCTGCCAGGGTCACATTTTTCCCTCCGAAATGATCTTCAGGGTGGGAAAGCCACGAATGCCAAAGAGGTTGCCAAGGAAGGCGGACTGGCATAGCAGGAGCAAACACTAAAGCTGTGATGGCCTGTAGTCACTTAGTCTTCATCTGGCTGAGATCCAAACATCCCTGGGAAGGAAGGTCAAAATTCGTCAAAATATGTCAAAGCACGGATCAACTTTGGAAGTTTCTGCAATCAACCAGACCCGGCCATCATGCTTTGGGAGAACTGGACCAAACGTCCGATTCCGGGGAGTCTTCCCAGAAATGCCTCGGTACAATCGACCTTTCCAACCTTCACTTCACCTGCGAAGCCACGAATGGATACGAATGGAGGATTCCTGGAAACCAATCTCTATGTTTGTTGAACATCGCTTAACTACATCTGTGGAATTAAAATGAATTAAAAAGGCAATATGTAGCAACCATATTATTAAAAAAAACATTAACAAAAATGACTTGTTATATATCCACTATAATTATACAATGTACGACCATGTACGTGTAATAACCATCATTAATCAAAGTACGCCACAGTGCATGTTGACGCACTCACAGCGACGAAATGTGGTATCTTCGCATCGGCAAAGGACCGGACCTTGCAACTTCTCAGCCAATTCCTCCCAGGTAGGTGCCAAGACCTTCTAACGCAAGGCTCATTGCAGTGACAGTGGAAGGCTACCCTTTGGAACAAGGACCTTCCACCATGCCGACTACATGGAGACTTCCAAGGAGACAGAACAAAACACCAGCTTCTACTGTTGTATCTATGTAATGATCAAGGAATGAAAACACCAACTTGGTCAAATTTAAGAAGCTGTGTCTACTTTGAAGATTTCATACACACTGCCGTACAAGTGCATAACAGGTGTTGCACATTGCTGCATACTCACACCCTCCACTGTTCATCAATTTCGGAGGTGTGTATACACTGATACTCCAAATCGATCCAAATCGTCTATATACCCTGCCCATCCCTGCCCTTTGTCCACCCCTTCTTACATGTCGCGCTTGTTTTTCTCACGCCTTACATTCCATCTGATCCCAAGAAACTGGACCGGGCAAACGTCCCAATTTCCAAAGTTCCAAGTGCACTTGCGCTTCCAAGATGGGGATGCGAGCTTTCATCGTCCGAGCCCAAAAGTTCACCTCGGCATCTGGAAAAAAAGCGCCTTGCAGAATGATGCAGAGATGTGAGTGATTCATACGGATTCATATCTTGCATGACTGAATAAATTTAGCTTTATAGCGCATAGCTATGTATAGCATGGTATAGCATGGTATAGCTATGCGTAGCTATGTATAGCAATTAGAAGTACCTTATCGCATCGTACGATGCCTGATGCAACATGCGCAACATTGCGCAGCTATGCGCAACCCATCCTTAGCGTCCCAAGTGGTCCGGGGCTGGACCACAAAGGCGGCGACGAGGAACCAAAGGATATAAAGCCTCGGCTTGGAAAGTGCTACTGACAGCATCCTTCTGACAGCATCAGCCGCCAGCAATGGTTTACAATAATGATTCATAATGGACAACCATGGTGAATGATGATGAATATTGACCAATAGCTAATGATGATTGAAAAAAAATGATTACGTAATCATCACCATGGTTGATAATGAGTAGCAATGCCTACAGTGAATAATGATTGACGATCAATCGCCCAAGGTTTGGCATCTTACCTTGGTTCACGGGGGCGCCACTTGCACTGCCGCGGGGCATGACTACTTTGTAGGGACGCCTGCCCTTCAGAAACCTGGGCAGTTGCCACCGGAAAGGATCAAGCGTATCAAGGTGGGGCAGTTTCATGTAGCATAATCATGCATAATCTATCATAATCTTGAACATGTTTGAACAATTACAACGAATTACAATGACAATAGGGCACTTTTTTCAATCTCCTAGAAGTCAGCAAGTGGTGAAGATCTTGAAAACCGCCCAAGGTAGGCCAGTAATTTCTCCTGGGAATGGAACATCACCCATTCCTGGAGGATTATAAATCCATACAAATGTTCTTATTTTTCCATTCACAGTTCGGATTTTCATGGATTTTCCATGATTTTCCATTGCCAGAGGAGTCCTCTCCGTTTATGCGAATCAAAAACGTCTCTTAAAGAAGCACTGCCTTTACGGTCAAGCGTTTGCAGTCAACTATGGTCAACTCCAAGGGGCTCAATGACTGTCCGATATGCCTCCCAGTAGGAAGCGATGCGGGTCAAGATGGGAGCCAACCTGGCTATGGCCAGAGTCAGGTAGAGCCTCAGCACGCGAGAGGCGTGATCCTTTAAGTCTCCTCGGTAAGGTTCCACAGCGATGAGCCCGATCCAAACGAAACCTGGGGGCGTTTCGTAGCAAGACCGTGACCCTTCCAGATAGATGACATGCAATGATTGGTTAGAGATTGTTATATATATACCTGGTATAATTAAGTATGTTAAAATCACACATCTCAAGGATCGTGAAGCCTGGGAACAAGACAGGGCATGAAAGATGATGAAAACGATGAACACAGTGAACACATGTGACATCGTTTTTTCTCCCTGTGAAATTTGCAGGTTTCTGGGATCATCTGTGGTTTACTTCAGAAAATGTGACAGAACAATCCCGACCACTTCCAGCAACCTACACCAAGACCAACGATGAGGACCCAGTGCCACCTGCGAAGCGAGATCTGAGGGACATGAGAACGGACTCTCTTGCGGAGCTTGACGAACCGCCAGTCTAAAGTCAAAAGACTCCATCCAAACATACACAGCAGCAGAATGGGCACGATGACCAGGGCCAGCAGTGTCATGAGGATGCAGCACACGGTCAAGTTCTTGCTGAAGTCGGGGGAAACTTGGTGGGAATCCATGGTTTCGAAGACCAAATTCCGCAACGCGATGAGTTGCATCTGGCCCCTTCGGGTACCGCCTTTTCCCAAGCCAACCAGGCCTGCGAGGACATGAGCAAGATCCAAACCCCATAAAATCGTGAAGTTCTGCTCCTTCGGAGGCGTCAAATCTTTCAAACTGTGCTGCAAGATCTCTGTTGTGATGGGGAAATCCCAGCACAAATATTCCGCCAAATATCCTCGGGTGCGAGAGTTCTGCTGCATTGCGGTTGTTTACAAAAACGAAACTAAACGCCTTAAAAAAGAAACGGGCCCACGGGGGCACAGGCCAGAACAAAACCAGATTTTACTAGTTTCAATCTTTTCAGCAGCTAAGAGTCTAAAATAACCAAAAAGGTCTAGAAATTGTGCCCGCTGCTCTGCATACCTGTAATTCAATAGACTGGCTACTTGTTCCAACAAGGTCTTGTTCAACTTGGGATATTGTGGATCAGAGACCCGCCAAACATTCCGGAGAATCTCCAAGGACTCCACTGGGCTAAGTTCATTTTCAGCCAAAGTATAATACAATGACGCCAGATTTTCTGGACTCAACGTTGCTGCTTGGCTCTCCATCGCTACCACGTTTCCGACAAAAACTGTTCCGAAGGACTCCCAGCTGAGCAAACTCACAACCGTTGGTGGTTGGATGCGAAAGTCCACATGCACGACCTCTTTATTTTGCATGTGTCTTGTCTTAATAGAAAGTTGAACCTGTCCATGTTGTTCTAGGGGTCAACGCCCCGAGGCGGGCGTGGTTTTTTCCACGTTTGTGCTCTTTGGAAGTATACGTGTTTAACGCTCTTGCCGACTGTAAGATGACGCTACCGAAGACACGTTGCCCAACTTTGTTGCTGACGTCTTGCTACCTTGACTGGGAGGGGGGGTGGGGGGGGATGATAACGTTCCTTTCGACTGTAAGATAACGCTACCGAAGACACGTTGCCCAACTTTGTTGCTGACGTCTTGCTACCTTGACCGGGAGGGGGGGTGGGGGGGGGGGGGGGGATGATAACGTTCCTTTCGACTGTAAGATGACGCTACCGAAGACACGAGCACCAGTGGCTGTATCTTCTAGGTGCCTCGTTAGCACTTATGTTTGACTTTAAGCTTTAAGCACCTGTGCATACACATATATATATATACATATATATATTGGAGTAAGCCTGGGAGTATAAACACTCCCCAGAAACAAGATGAAAATCGTGGTTTCGGCCCTGGCCAAGCAGGCGGCCGAACCCCCGGCAAACTAGGCGGCAACGTGCCGGTCAAGTTAGCAAAAATGCGAGGCAAAAAAGAGCAGCAAACGAGTAGAAATGTTGCCTCAAAAGGCACAACCTGGCACCACCATAAATTATTTATCATTATTTGCTTCCAAGTTGGAATGCGCCCGGCATTACTTCAAGACACCAGGTGCATACCGGGTTTTCATTATCGCTCTTAGCGCCTGCCAAGCTGACGGTTAAAGGTCTCCAGCGTCCAGCGCCGCGCATTGGACTGGATAAGTTGGTTGCGTGGACCTTGATTTCAGAGCAAAGCTGCTCAAGCAGCCGCCGCCCCTCAGGCAATCAGTGCTGAGCTGACAATTCAGCTGAAAACTGTTTTGGAAAAAGAACGCTTAAATTGTGACTAGTTGTGACGGGTCTTGCGCTGGAGACGGTGGGGGCTTGGCAGAAACTTGGGAATAAGAACTTGACGCAAACCTGACGGCTTCGTGCTAACCTTGCAGAAGCCCGAGGCTGGTGGAAACCCGCCAGGAACCTACCAAAACCCGGCGAAACCTGGCGGAACCCGGCGCAACCTGGCGGAACCCGGCGGAAACCTGGCGGAAACCTGGCGGAATCCGGCGGAAAAAAAGTAAGTTGAAGGGGGGGGTGGTTGGGAGTATAATTTTTGGCATGGTTTATACTCCCAACCACCCCCCCCTTCAACTTACTTTTTTTCCGCCAGGTTCCGCCAGGTTTCCGCCAGGTTTCCGCCGGGTTCCGCCGGGTTCCGCTGGGTTCTGCCGCTCCGCCGGGTGCCGCTAGGTTCCGCTGGGTTCCAGGCTTTGCCAGTTCAGTTCCGCCGGGTTTTGCCGGGTTTCCGCCAACAAGGTTCCTGCTCCCGACTCACCCTTCAATCTATTGCTAGGATTGTGCAAGGTTCTTGCCAGGCGTTTGCCAAGGTTGCGGCAATCAAAGTCAAAGAAGCGGTTTTTGCAAATGCCCGGACATTGTGCAAGTCAGCTCATGGAAAAAAACACCAATAAGATTGCTTCCCTGGTGGAGTAGCAGATCTTTTTTTGCTGGGACCCCATGCAGAGGGGGATGCAATAGAGATTTTCATTGTTCAGCTTTTCCACATTGAAACGTACCAACATGTACCAACTTTCATCTTTTGCATTGAACACATTTGCCGTTGAAAATGTCCGTGTATTTGGCTTGGCCAGAGCTAGTTCGCGCGCTTTGCCGGGCCTCTTGCCGGCACATTTGCCCCTAATTTTGCTTGTCCATCACTGCTTCGGATGCTCTGCCATACGACTTGCCGGCACAAATGCCATGGCTTTTCGTTCCCACAGAGTTAACCACAGGTTCTGCCGCTAAGTTTGCCGGCCACAAAACCCAAGAAATCGGGTTTCTTGAGTTGCGCCGGCCCTTCTGCCGGAGGTTTTACCATCCCTTTAGCCACAGTTTTGGGTCAGTTTGGCCCAAAAAGTATTTATGAGTGTTTATACTACCTGGATACTTTCAATATATATATATTACACATATTGCTAGGTTCATTTACAACATACATTTATCAAAACGCATGTTTTTTATATACATGTATGTTTACATATTTATATATATATATGTGTGTGTAAAATGTATTTTATATCTATGTATTTATATCAAGCAGATGTTGCGGAATTGCAAAAGTTTTTTTTGGCATTTTGACATCTTGCAGCAAACGTCAAAACATCATAGATCACAAGCATAAAATACTGTAAATTACAGTGTAAAAAGGTGATTTTTGATGCAATCACCAAGTACACAATTGTAGAAAACCCACACCCGCCTCAAGGCGGTGTTCCCTTGTTCTACATTGGATCCTTCAACCTCAACTCTTCATTGTGTTCATGTTAATGGGTTTTCATCTTCCAGTCTAGAAATGAGATGTTTCAAGATTATCAAAAGAAAGCCAAACAAGTAAGGTCGTTATTGGACCTCGTCGTCCAAAACATGATGATATAATGTTGAATTGTACATTAACATGTATCAAACACGTATTGACAATAAACAAAATATGTGTAGCAAGGGAATACGTTTTATTTTATCCAATTTATCTGTTTTTTTTTCCGCATCACAAGTTTCTGCCTCTCATCGTCATCATCCCCCTTCTCTCATAATCAGTCACTATCACCAGCACTCAGCAACACAATGAAAAGTCGCTGCATTAGCTCCAACATGTTGTCATCATGTTCAAGTTGTCATCGCCTTCACGATCACTCTCATCAATTGCAGGCATTGATTTCGATGGAAAATGGTGGAAAGATGTTCGTTCAGATTGACCCCGTTTATCATCTCCATAAGAATCCCTAAAAGAGATAAAGGTGATGATGACTTCCCCATTGCATTCTATACTAAGAATGTTGTTTCCTGTTTTTGAGGGCACTTGTTTGACAACAAATTATGGGAATGTTTCTATCGGCGTCGGCGTGCTACATGCCTCCTCCAAAACCCTTGTCAATTCTTCAAAAGGTTTGATAGCCGTCTGGCCGCATGGGCAGTTACTTGTACCCAAAAATGCGACGCTTTATTTATGACCCCAAAACAATAATCCATCCGCGACGCCCTCAAAAAATCAGCCATCCTACCTATCATATGGGTTAAACATTGTTAAACTGAAATAAGTGCCCAAAAGTTCCGTAGTTTATCATAAATGTACTCCATTGGACACCTTGGGCCAGTTTTAAGGCCGCCTTGCAATGCCCACACCAGGGGGCATAGAACTTCACAGCCCAGGGCCTCGATCTAACTGGAGATATCCGTTTGGCGTAACATAAGGGGCGGTAATAATTTGTTGGCAAGGGCCAACTGCCGATGGCCAAAAGGAATCGCGATGTAGAACCAATCCAACGGACATAGTACGGACAAAAGAACGCAAATTTTCAAATTACAAAACAAATTGAAAACAGACTAAGCCAGACAGCACGAGTTTGGATCAATTCCAATAAGGGTTTGACTTGGTTTAATGAAGACAATGATGCTATCCAATGCAAACATGTTTTGCTGGTCAGATGATTCATGGGCTGAGACCTCGACGTTCCTTCGCCACGGGCTACCAACGCCTTGCAGGCAGCTTGAAGGTGGTTCCAGCAAATCCGGGGGAAATACTAAATGTGAGGCGGCGGCGGACCGTATCATCTACCAGCCTCTAGACTCTAAACCTGTATTGTTGCTCGGTTTTCGCCTCTAAACCTCTACTCTAGGCGGTTCAAAGCCTCTATTGTCGCGAACTGGTGTGGTTCAGTTTCAACACCCCTAAACCCGTAAGTGTTTAAACCTCCACAGTAAATCGTTTCCGGATTTTAGAAACTGCAAACCTTGTCGCTGAGGTGTTTAGGGGCTGCTTTTGTGTTCACGCCTCGTGGCCTCGTGGTGATACATCTTAAAGCACCAGGGCTATAGATCGCTCCAGCTACATATGACTTTCAAATACATGCCATGCTGACATGTAAGTCAATCAAAATGTGAAATTTCAGGCGTAATGGTTTCTAGTATTTAGCAACTGGTTTTTAATTAGCAAACGGTTTCTGCCTGTGCATAAAATAAGTTTTCGGCTTTACCGTTTTAAAGAAATCGGTGGGACAAAAGGGTGTGAATGCAAGCGCATATATGAAATGGAAAAGTCTCTTGTGCGACGAACACGTTCGACAACATGGAGCACCACCAGTCCTCAAAGTTCCGATCCGTCAAGTTGGTGACGAACTGTGCATGGTTCTCCTGCTCTGGTCATGGTGGGATGTTGGCCCCTGGGGGCTATATAAGGAAATTATTGTCAACATTATTTCTTAGAAAAGAAGGCGCGATACAAATTTGAAATGCATGTTCTCTTTCGTTGCATCCTCTGCAACACACGTAAGGGCGATGAACAGTTGGAAGATCAAACCTGGCAGAAAAGCGATCTCAGAGGGAACTCGCTGCAGTTGAAGGCAACAGCGGCGGGAATTGCCTGGGGATCCCATTACAAAAAATGTAGGAAACGGCTCGGCTCTGCCGCCACCCTTCGCAAGCCTCTGACCAATGACATGGCGACATGCACCATGGGTGAACGCGGTGTTTAGATTCTATGTTGAACACGGCCAGGTACAAAGCAACAACGATATTTGTTTCACGCCGCGCACTTTTGATGGTTTTGTTTGGTACGGGCGAGGTCGTATTGTAAAAAATAATTTTCCACCTGCAATGTCCCAATGGAATCAATGGCATTAAAAATCAATGAAATGATGCTACCGTATTGTCGTGGTGTGGTTTTGCCAATTTGTCATCGTTGGCCGCCCCACTTGTGCACGCACGGCACGCTGCTAAAACCAAATGGCAGCAACCAAATAACAAACACCCCCACTCCATTCACCTCATCAAACTGGAGAATTTCATGCCAACGATTTTACCAATACAAAATATCTATGTGCAAACGAACCAAATAACGCAACACATGAGACTAACGCAGCTTTGGTCAAAACGGCCAAGCATGTCATTTATTCGTTTCCACCTTCTGACCTTGCACGCGCAAACGCGCAGTCACGGCTCCAATACAACACAACAAATCATTTCGTGTAATTTTTTGCCCTCGCATCCCCACATTTTTCAACTCAATCCTGAATGAATAAACGTTTGAGATGCCGTTGTAACGATCGCATTCTCCGAACTGAATGTGGCACGTTGCTGCGGAAAAAAATGGTCCAATCAAAATCTTACATGGGCCACAGCAATATTTAGGTTTCGGATTTTGTGTCGTTTGTGCAATATGGCCTTTGCAATGGATAGGATAACTACACAACACTTTGAGATTAACAAATGTCAAGCATCCAGGGAAGCCCGCTAAGACCCAGATATCGTTTGATGCTGGGAAATTATTATCGCATATTAAATTGATTATATCAAAAATTACTGTATCTTCCATTAAATTTTATTATATATTATTTTTAATCAAATAATTTCAAATTATGTCATATTGAATCCAATTAAGCTATATTGGGTTAAATTGCATTTCTATATATTTTGATATAAGGTACATTTTTAAAATATAATCAAATTATATGAAATGATGTTATATTAAATTAAAATCATATTATGTCATACTATGTAAAAAAATGCATGTTACCATTTTAACGAAATGATAATAAAAAAATAAACAAAAAATGCAAATATATATATATATATAATAAAAAAAACACTCGATACCATAGATACCACAAAAAAAATATGTTAAAAAAGGTGACGCCCTCCCTTAAGGAGCAAACCTTGACAAACATGACCCAAGGTCATGGGTTATCAAACCACCCCCAGGTCGAGCCACCCCCAGGTGTGGGCTCCTTATTTTTTCCCTTATTCATTTCCTTATTTGTTTTTGAGGGATTCTGCCAGATTGAGGTTATTGAACGGCCAACTTGAAGACTATTTGAACTATTTGGGGCTATGTGTCGTCCTTATTCAAAGCCTTATTTGAAAATGATGTTTTCTTATTTGAAAACATAATCTTGCCTTATTTGGCCAACCGTGCTTCTCTATGAGGAAGGTGAAAAAATAAGAGAAGCATTATTTGGAAAACCGCATATAGCCTTATTTGGCTAAGCATGCTTCCTTCATGAGGAAGGTGAAAAAATAAGAGAAGCATTATTTGACAAACCGCATATAGCCTTATTTGGCTAACCGTGCTTCCTCTATGAGACATGGGAAAAGGAACCTGCACACACGCCCGCCAGGCCTGTAGAGACTTCGCCTGTATAATGTATCATTATATTTATATGGAAAACACTCTTTTGGACCTCATTACATTTTTTTTGGACCTGGACACTTTTACTGGACCTTACTACAATTCTTTTGGAGATGGCTACCCTTCTTTTGGACCTGCACACCCTCCTGCTGGACCTCATCCTTCCCTCCTGCTCGACCTGGCCCTTTCCCAAACCATACCCTTTTCGGATAGATTCTACAGTTTCTGTCCAGCCGCGTCTGCATCGCAATTTTTCAGACAGTAGGGCGCTAGAGCTGCGCTAGCATGCAACTGGGCAGGAAGTGCCATGTAGTGTTGTCCTCACAGCTTGAACCGACTTGGACACTCATCCTGGTGAGTTCGTTGCTGCTTGCGAGGGGTATAGCCACTCTGGCAGCCTTGAAAACTTGAACACCAACCTGTGTGACAGGAATGACAGTTACCCAGGCTGCCGTGCCTGGACGGTAGGGAGCTAGAGCCGCGCTAGCAGCGTCTGCTTCGTAATCCCCACGATGGGTCATTGGGAGCCTTGACCGCGCTAGCAGCTAGCATGCAACATGGCAGGAAGCCTTTCCTGTACACGGTCTGCTCCCAAACCATAGCCCCCTTGGGATAGATTCTCCAGTTTCTGTCCCGCCGCGTCTTGATTGCAATTCTTCAGACACAGTTCTTGCATTCATCTTCTTGCATTCCAGCCGCGTCTACATGTCCATACGTCCTGTGACTGGATACTCACCAACAAGGTTACATTGATTTCGATGTCGAGTCATGTGGCACATTGCGCCCAGGAGCATCCCTCGCCGGTACGTTTACACATCTGTCCATGACGGCCTTCGTTGCCTGCAGCCGATGTGGGTTAACTTAGCGAAGCGGGGTGATTTTGACACTGCTCAAGGCCTGCGGTGATATGTCAACATCCATGGGTTATGGTGTTGTGGAATGCTATACACAACTTCACTCCGATCCGCTCTCTGCGGTTCAAAAGCATCGCTTGCACTTTGCAAGCTTCATTGGCCTGTTGTACGGTGAGACGACCGTCGGGCAAGATTGGTGATGAAAACACTCTCCGGTCGCAATGAAGAACAGCTCGTTCGAGATGTGTTCCGTGGTCATCTTCGGTGCACCAGGTTCGCCAAGTCGTGCTTTCAGCGTATCGTTTTCCTTTTGGATGTCTGCGATCCTCTTCATGTACTGCGCTTTGTCTTTCTGCGCAGTCTGCTTGATTCGTGTGATCTCGCTCATGGCATAGTTTAAATCATCTTGAAGTTTTTTCTCACGCATCTCCAGCGCACTGTGAGCGGTCTGCTCTGGAGTCTCCCATAGGCGACCGGCTTGTCTAGGCTCATCGGTCTGACTCGCCGCTCGGCATGGTCATAGTGTCGTTGGTAGAGCTCTGTTGCGTCATGGAGCTCGGCATGGATGTAGTTGGGATCATCCCTCGCATCCAGTCAAAAATCCTTCCACCAAAATGTCCAATGACTCGCTCAACGACCAAAATCAAAACTGTGAAAACGACCATGATGTGAAAAATGGTGCCGTCACGTTCCGGCTCTGTTTCGCCTGCTGCTTGTGCAAGACGCAACCCATTTAAAACCATCAAAGTCATGATAGGCAAAATGCCTCGCTTCACCGGTGCCATCATCGGGGTCCACCACAAATTGTGGCTGTGGTGCTCAAACTCTTTGATCAGCGATTCATCATCTTGCGTCAAATCGCTTTCCTCAATTTCATACTTCGGTGGCAACCTTTTCATCTGAACATGGTGTGTCCCCTCGTTCTCAATGACCAAGCGACCAGTCGTGAGGAGTGTCATCATCTGAACTGACACCATCGGCTTGGTCAGGGCGTCAGCCACCATGGATCGTGGTGGAACCAGGGCCATCCATCTGATGCGTCGTCCTGCAAGACGTGATTCACGAAGTGACAGCACATAGATGCGCTGATTCTTGTCCTGTGGCAAGGTCTTGCATCCAGTTGTGAGCTAATACACATCATTGCAGTCACCATAGTCATCAATGGGTAGCTGTGGATTTCCAACTTCTTGTACTGCTGCAAGTTGATGCAGTGTTGGACTGTCAGACTTATGAAGCATCTCGCTAAGTCGGACACTCACCAGGGTCGCAGCTTCGTGGCCAATGGCCGCCAACGTCGCTGCATGGCTGGTGGAGTATGAAATGCGTTTTGTTTTGGCACCATGGCTCCAAAGCACATGTGCATGTCCTCCATGTAGTTGTGCAAGTTGGTCGCTGCAAGTAACGTCATACTGGCCCTCCTTGGGCTTGATGTGGTCTTCCATCAAGAGGACCAAAACACCCTCGTGAGCGTAGGCCTTTTCCTTAGTGTGTGAACTGCAATCGTGGAAGCACGCAATGCGAAGGCCTCGTTCTGGATGAAGTTTTCTGAAATAGTCCAACATCTTTTCGGTCAGGGTTCTGTGCCTGCTTGAGCACCTGGTTGGCTTGTCGTAGATGTCGAACTTCTGAAGAGGTCACATGCGTGGCCAGGTGAGAAACATCAGCCACCAAATCCAAACGAGTTGCAGTTGGCCACAAAGTATGGATCTGTAGGAAGTAATTTCTTCCTTGGTGAGTTTGTCTCCATCCTTGCGATCAGCACCAATCTTCGCAGGAATCATCTTGGCACAAAACACGCTCTGCACCATGCGGTAGCCATCGGGCATCTTTTCATAACGTGCTCCGCAATGTTCGATCGGCAGAGTCTGTCGACTGACTTTCTTGAACTTCCCCACGAAGGCTTTGTAGTGTTGATCAGTTGATCCAACAAATCTTGCGGTGCTGCAACTGCAAGGTCGTCCACGTGACATGTGCATGCTGCAAGGAGAGAGCCATCAGGGCGTTTCCATCGCCAGCTGTTTTCGTCAAGAGATGATGCTGCCCCCTTGATTTGCTGCAAATATTCTCTAAGACACAATTGCCATGCCAAATATGCATTGTTGAGTCCGTAGATGGGTTTCAAGCACAGAAGACCCCACATGGATGGGTCGTTGGCCTTGAAGTCGCTGGACATGGCTGCAAGGTGGCACCAAACGTTTGGAGGAGGAAGCACAACAACTGCTCTCACCGGACTGTTGATGCCCATCTTCAGGAGCATACGTCCTTTCAAAAATGTTCCACCAATGTCCCAGGACTCCACGTTGAGGTCCAAAACTGCCGCAACACTGAGAAGCAAACGCTGGATGAGGCGTGTTGCCGTGGTAGATCTTGTTGTGAGCAAATCCTTCTGCTTGTCAAGGCACCCACGTGCACACAAGCGACTCTTCACTTTCTTGGTGCCGTTGGCCATCTTCTTGAACTTCCGAACCCATCGTGCATCGATGATCACGTGGTCTTGTGTGAACGCATCCTTGTGCAGCTTCTGGAAAACACGCTCTTGCACAAAATGTGCAACCTCGGCCGCATCGGCCTCCTCAACTTGTTTCCAAATGCCGTGGACGTCATCCTCGTTGATGTCATCGCGCTCAGTGTCCACACGGTAAACTTTTGAAGTTCTGAGGTCCACGTTCAGGATGGCGTTTTGACTGGAACCGATGTGGAAAAGGTATTCGTGATTCTGCAAATCGCTGCGCTGTTGTTGACGATGTTGCAAAGAGTCAGCAAACAGTCTTTCAGCCGTGAGATTGTCACTCCAGAGCTGAGTGCCGATCCAGCTGTCGGGAAAGTCATTTTTGATCTTTCGGCGGCAATTCATCAGGTGGTGAATGGCAGAGGAGTTGTAGAAGATGGAGCGCGATGACCAATAGTCCAATCGCATTCGTTTCTTTTCTGGCGCCATGACAACTGTTCTTGAGTCAGGGCCTTCTCGTTTGAGACCTTGATGTTGAGAGTCATCTGGCATGGATGTGTCGTCCATGGCCATGGAGTTGTTTTTGTCGTTGGTCTGGCTGGAGTCGATGGTTGTGGACTTTGTATCCATTCTTGATGCTGTTGATTTCTTCAAATCAAGTTGAGTGCTCTTCTCTTGGTTGGAGGCGTGGTAGAAGATGTAGATGGCACAAATGTCTTCTGACTTCTCAAATGGCAAATTCTTCATTTTGATGGTGTCAGCATTCCAGTGTTCTTGGATGTGGTACTTGACGCTGCCAATGTTCCAAGTGACCAAGTAGCCAGTGGTGTCTCGAGGCGGCTTGATAACCTTCATTGCTCTGCCATAGATCATGCCTGATGGAGATCTGGTAGTCAAAGATGAAGACACCACCAAGAGCTTGTCAAAGCTGGCCAAAATGATCACCACCTGGAACTTTGCGCCAAACCAAACGCTTGGAGTATGGAGGAACCATTTCTGTGACCTTCATGATGTCGATGATCTCATTCTCCGCCGCATCATTCAGGCACAGCGTGGTGTTGGTGGAGAGAAAGGTCTGGACATCTGCTGTGGCGGATGGACACCAAGTATGGTCGGCCTTGATACTGGATGATGGCCACTCCTTCATCTGGATCAAGTCGTAACAAGTGGGCCGGTCCACGCCAACCAACGTCGCCACGAACTTCTCGATTGAAGTCGGCTTCTGATGTTCCAGCCACTAGCTCTGCTGTGTTGAGGCGGTGACGTCTGGTTCGTCGGGCTCGTGCCGTTCTGTCCTCCACAATAGCTTGTTGAACTGCTGACAAAGAAATCTCCCTCATTCGCACAGCTTTCTCAAAGGTGCCGAGGTCAGTTTGTAGAGCTCCAGCAACTGACATGATACCAGAGGACTCCTCGTTGTAGAAGCCACGTGGCAAAATGCCAAAGACTGCCATAGCTGGTGTGACACCTCCGTAGTTGAGCGTGGAGTTGTGGGCCATCGCTGGTTCCATGGCAATGTCATCAGTTTCGCAAATGATGCCCTGTCGGTCGAGCTCGGCCTTCAGCTTCAACATGGTCAACTTCATGACGCCAACATGTCTCTCGACAAGGCCCGTGCCTGTGTGCTGAGATCCAGCAGGGCCAGCTGTAGTTCCCTTGGGTTTGCGCTCGATGTTCAGGCGCTCAAACTCAGCGGCTGCCTGGTGGCTCAGCAATGGTGCCTCCTGGTCCATGACGAGAGATGCTGGTGGCCCAAAGTATCGCATCCAGTGCTCCAGGGGTTTCTGTTGTAGTTCTTGGGATTCCCGACTGTTCGTCGCCACTGCGATCTTGTAGCGCGTGGCTTCGTCCACCATGAGGAAAGTTCAAAAGATCAGCTTGAACGCACTGATATAAGGTGCCAGCGTTGTTGATCTTGGTTTGAGGCCTGTTGGGTAGACGAACATACCGTCGGCAAATGGAGCACTTCATCACGGCATCGCTGACCAGGTTCAGGACTTCGACAGGCATTCCAGCTCTTGCTAAGAGGTTGCGCAGATCTGATGGTGGAGCATGCCAGTATTTTTCATGTAGTCCAAGAAGAAGTCTGGCTGCTGTGTCTGGTTTTTCCTTGGCAAGTTGTGGAAGACGTTGGAAAACCTTCTTGAAGTCGTACAACGGCTTGTTCGATGTCAACTGCCGTGGTTTGAACTCCTCGATTTCGTAGGGTTCTTCATCATCTCGTGGTTGATCTTGTTCATGTTCAGCTGGAGGTTGTGCTGGCAGAGGTTCAGCTGATATGTCTGGTAGTGGATCATGATCGTTGGGTGTAGCAGGTGCTGGCTGTAGTGGCAATGGAGTAGAGGATGATGAAGATCTTGTTGGCATAGGTGTAGATGGTGCTACAGTTCCTGGAGTGATTGGAGCTGGTGTTCTTGGGGCCGATTTGGCCACTGAATCACTGCGCTTTCCTCCGTCGCCAAGTTCTTTGTCAAATAGTGTGATCTGCCATGCATCTATGTCGACAGCCTCAAAGATCTGTCGCTGACTGCAAATGGAAAGATCTTGTGGTTCATCCATGGTCCAATGTTTGACATAGTCCTTGCCGATGTCGGTGGCTTCGCTGAAGACGGCAAGAGCATCTTGGATCACCTGGAAAAGTGCCACTTTCCAATAGACTCGTGCTGCTGGACCAAGAGAAACTGCTTGAGGTAGTTCCAGGGTCACATCTTCCATGGGGGAATTTCTGGCTGGTTTCTTCCAGTCATTGATTGGGCTGGAAGATGGTGCCTCAGGATTCTTTCTGGGCCGCTTGCCATCAGCTGTTGGATATCGTCCATGATGACATTCTCCTGGTAGTAGGCTGTGTTCCAGGCCGGGCGGCGCAGCTTTGCCCAAACGGCACTTCTCGCACTTGTAGAAGTGGCCGTGCCAGATGTGGTGAAGGCTTTTCGGCCATGCCGCAAGTCGCAACTGTCGTGACTCGTTGAGGCAGGAGATCACGTCGTGGCACATGTGCTGGCACATTGATCTTGGATACACCGCTGCAAGTGCCGTGCGGTTGATGCCAGATTTTTTTCCTTGTAGTTGACCATGTAGTTTTCCTCTGTGTCCACTGCATCGTTTGGATGTTTTTTTCCACTTGAAGTTGGGCACCAATGCGGTTGCTTTCTGAATCGGTTGTTGGTACTCATCTGTGGCCCCCAGCATGCATTGGTCACATCGTTGTTTGGGTCTGCAACCTGGTAGCTCTTCAAGGCAGAAGGGGCTGTCGGTGAAGAGTGTTGAGCCCCAGGGTTGTTCGGCCATGTTCGGCCGCATAGCCACGACCTTCGTAGGCTTGATGCTGGAAGACCTTCTTGACGAAGTTCAGGCCAGGTTCATCCTCGGCTCTGCCTACAAGTTTCTTTTCGGTGCTCATGGTGTTGGACGCTGTGCTGTGGAATCTGCATCGTGGTGATGCAAAGATGACTCGGGGCTTCAGTGCTTTGATGACACGCCACAGTTTCTGCTGATGGTTGTAGTCGTTGATGTCCCAGCCATAGCGAAAGTCGATCGGACATGCCACCGACAGACCTGCCGTAGCCATCGCAAGACTGAGTCTGCCTGATCCAGAGTACAGCTCCATGAAGTGGCACTCTGGCTGGCCTTTGGACTGAAGCTCCTTGAGCCATTGGTCCACGTTGTCGGGTGTGACCACTCTTCTTCCAGTCTTGCTGTAGGACTCCTCAGAGATGGCACGATAGTCGTGCTTGAGCTCTTTGATCTTCTTGTCGTCTTGGAAGGGGAAGTGGTTATTCTGATACGTTGGCATCCAAAAGTCGAGCTTCCGCTTCTGAGACCAGTAGCACTCAAGGTCAGGGTTTGCCAAGATCTCGATGTGAAGTTGCTGGGTTTTTGCCATGAGTCCTCAGTGGTCTCATCGCTCCCATCTGTGTCGTGGTAGTTATGGTAGTTGCTCTCGGTTCTGCGCACTGGCAAAATTTTTGCAAGTGGAACTGGCCTGGTCTTTGCACATTGTGGTGTGTACATGGTTCGTCGTGCTACCCGATGTTCTCGGACAAACCATTGACCGACAAGAGTCCACCTGTCTTCTTGCCTGGAGATTGGTTTCGTCAGTCGTCCATCACCGCATTCTCGTGGTTGATGTTGTTGTGGTGGTGGATCATGTTGTATTGAATCATGTTCTTGTACTTGTTGCACTGAATCAGGATTTCGTGGAAGTGATTGAACTGGTTGGATTGCCAACAAGAGCTGGACATAGTGATCCAGCTCCGCCCAAGACGTTGCCCTTGTAGACGATATGGCGGTTGGCTGGGTTGAGTTTGATGTGAACTTTTCCAAGCGTTTCATCAGACCCTCCAGAGGTTCCAGCCACTGATGTTGTCTTCAGGTTCCAAATGATGTAGTCGTTGGTCTTGTTGTTGGGGATGCAATGCTCCATGATGTCTCGAAGAGGCTCGGGCCCTATGAGTCCTGATGCTGCTCCAAGGTCGATCAGGAGACCACGTCGCTTCTCGCCGTTGACGGTGTGGTAGATGGCAGCTTCCTGAGAACTCTTCAAAAACATCGCAAAACTGAGAACCTTTTCAGGAGTTTGGCTGGCAGGAGTTTCTTCTGATTCTTGTCGAGCTGGTTGAGACTTGGAAGACTTCTGGATGTTCGTGAGGTCGCCATCGTTGGCATCCATGCGGTAGAAGCTGGTCTTGGTGGCAGCCTGTGATGATGATGCAGTTTCTTGTTGTTGTTGATCTCGTTTGACATGGTTGGCATCCAAAGGCGGTCTGACATGGTAGGAGGCGTAGTCGTGCCCAGAGTAGTACTTGCCCTTTTTGCCATAATTCTTGCCAAACCTCTTGCCATAGCCTTGGAAGGTCTCCATGAGAAGGGCCGATAGCCTTTTCCTTTCTTGCCATAGCCTCTGGGGTAGCCCTTGTAGGGTCTGCCTTTGCTATATCCTTTCCCTTTTCCAAAACGGTTCTTGCCCTTGCCTTTCTCGGGGAGATTGACTGGGCATGAAGACGAGGAGTGCCACTTGCTGCCGCAGATGCGGCAGCCAGGGCCCATAGCATTTCGGCCTTTCTGGCCTCCCTTGTGGTAATCCTCGTTGACCTTGTTGTCGTGGTTGGTGCTCTGCTCAGATTTCGCCTTCTCGTCATTCCACCATGATGGATCTTCTTCACCATAGTAGTCGTAGTAGGCCTCATCATCGTGCCACCATCCATCGTCAGCATAGTCATCGGACCAAGGCTCATGGGATTCATTCTCATCGTATGACCAGGAGGTCGGATCTGTCCAATTCTCATCCCAGTAGCTGTCGCAGTTCTCTTAAGTCTCTGTTACCTCTTCGTAGACAACATTTCCAACACGCCTTTTTGCCGCGCCAGTCATCTGGTGGTCCCACAAATGGGTTTTAAGGGTTTATGGACTGCTTTGATACTGGCCAGTCTCCAAATGTGCATAGTCCAAAAGGGCGAAAGCCACGGCTCATGAGCCCCCCTCACCGCCCTGGAAGCCGACTGGGGGCAGTAGGGGTGGAGGGTGCTTGGGTGAGAAGTTGCCCGAGGACTGGGAGGACACCATCGCCACTGAGAGCGCTGTCGGCTGACTGGTTGAGCAGGGATGCCGCGAATGCTTGCATAGCGGCGTGTGCATATGGCTGACCATCGTGCGATGTGAGAAGCCACCACGGTGTGCCGCAAAGGTGCGGGGGTTTCCCGGGCTTTGGTTTGGGCGAGGAGCCGGAGGAAAGTTGCTGCTTCCGGGCTCCAGCCGCCGCCAACCTCCATGGCGAGGACAACCAGCCGGCATCTGTTTGACCCCGCCAGCTCGGGGTATGTGCGCTCTTTGTTCTGCCGAGCTGTGTGCAATGCTGCGCCGGCGTACTGGCCGCCTCGTCGCCGGGGTTATGCAGCACCTGTCAAAGGTGAGACCAGCGTGGTGGCGATATGTGTCGATAGCCAGCTGGAGCCATGCCACAATGGCAGCCCAGTTGCGATGACTTCGATGGTACGGTCGTCAACGCGTTGAACAGCAGGGACGTTGAAGTTGGCCAGGCGGGTGTGCAGCGTAACACGAGCGCCAGCCGGTGGTTGCCCAAAAGGACTGAACCGAAGGGCCAATGTTCTGGCTTCATTGAATCTCGCCAGATCGCCATGAAGTTGCAGCTTGATGACCTCGATGAACTTGTTGGGCAACTGGCTGTGCTTGAAGAAGAGGTAGATTTTGGCCACGTCGTTGAGCTGAAGATTGGACCTGTTTTTTTTCCCCCCGCACCTTTTTCGGCAGCGAAGGTTCAGGCACTCCTTGGGTTCTTTGGGCGGTTTTTATACTGACCCGCCTCCAGGTGTGCTTAGGGGCATTTAGGGGAAACTTCGCAAGCTGCAGTTGGCATAAATCCAAGCCACGTGACCCCTTCAGGGTGCGAGGCGGGACACCGCTGGGGCGGACGGTCAGCATGGCAGACCAGCGAGAAACAAAAGCCGCTGCGGCAGATGAGCGAAGCAGAGTTAGGACTGATCGTGCCCGTGCTGTTGCCAAGAGTCGAAGGAACCGGGCAGATTCGTGGCTGAATCGGCCGCCCACGTCGATGCCGAGGACGACGAGTTGGCAGCGATGGGATTGGACAAGCTCTGGGTAGGTTCGTTCCTTGGAACGCCTGGCATCTGCCAACGCAGCCCCCGCGAAAGTGCCTTGTCGGCGACGGGGTGACTGGACGCAGTGAGGGGGGTTCTGCCTCATCATACCGCAAGTCCCATTCCACCGCATATTCTCGTAGTGACAGTATTCCACGTCTGAACACGAAGAAACTCTCCAAGTTTCGGCTAACCATGTTTTGGTCACTCTGTCCGAAGGCGTCTCTGAGAGCGTCGCAAAGAGCTTGAACTCCTGAAGGAATGTGGTGCTGGATGATGGTGGTCGGATCGTTGGGATCCCTCACTTGCATGTATCTTAATGTACTTTTTTTCCTAACACACCTTCTTCTGCAGCGCGCTTCATTGAAAGGCAGGTTCCGTGGCCACTCACAAAGAAATCTAAAAGCCAAAAAGGATCAAAAAGGGATGTCCACACAAGAAATCTAAAGTTGGGCTGGCTATGGGCCCGGCAACCGGCTGGGAGTTGTTGAAGCTCCTGGGTGTTGGGCCAAGAGCTGGCCCAAGGGAGGAAGGTCCTCTTCGCCTATGATTGCACTTGAAGGAAGCAGTGAAAGCAGGGAAGCTGCGTAGGCATGCATGGCGGCATGCGTGAGAGAAGCGCTCCAGCGAGCAATGAGGGCTGTGACTGTGGCATGGCGAAGCTGTGCTGGGACTGTTGTGCCTTGGTGCGTGCTAGAGATCTTAGGAACTGGGCCGCTTCTGTGCTCCATCGACCCCCAACCTCAATGCCAAATACCACCAGGCGGCATCTCCCCGTGCCTTGCAGCTCTGGGTAAACCCTTTCCTTGGCTTGCTTTGCTTCGTGTAAAGCTGCTCCTGCATATCGACCTCCTCGTCGGCGTGGTTGGCCCGTACTTGTTAAGGGAACAACAAGTGTAGTGTCAACTGCTAGCTGTGCCCCGTTCCACAGCGGGAGGCCGTTTGCAATGACTTCTATACGCCTTTCGTCAAGGCGGCATGCTGCGGGAATGTTGAGGTCGGTGATCCTGGTGTGCATTGTGACTCGTGCTCCTGCCTCTCGGCACACTCTGGCTGCAGCTATCTCAAGTGGCCCCCCGCGGCTGCGGAGGACCCCCGTCCTTGGGCATGCTGAACGGTGGTCGCCAAGGGGATCAACAGTGCGACGGCACCGACAAATGCGGTCAGACAAGGGCAACGGGAGCCGGAGGCGCCGAAGAAGAAGCAATCGGAATAGTAGGCCTGGGTAGGTGGCATCAGGCGTGTATGGAATGGAAGTGAAAGCCCGCCCGGAAAAGAGCCCCGATTGAGAGTCGAGCATGGCTTGCGCTGGTGGGTCCAGTGTGTGGTAGAGCTCTGCCCTGGCTGCTGTGTGGTATGGGGTTGCGGCTTGTCGCTGCC